TTGTGCTTTAGGTTGTTATCGGTTGTAGATTTAGCGATTGCCAAATATCAGCCGTTATATTTGTCAATGCTTTGAGACACTTTGTTTTGAATTCTTCAAAAGAAAGTACAGAAAAACAGCTTCAAAATTAAAGCCGTGTTTAAGAATTTGCCAAATTCAGCTCTGAAATGCTATGTAATAGGTTCAATACAATAGGTGCAAGAGAGAGGGACCCGGACACGGTGAAACCTTAGGAAACAACGACCACTTGCATTTATATACCGCAGATCTGGGAGTGACTAAAATGAAAGTATTACGTTAGCATTCATTGCATTGACGATGTGATAAGGTGATGTATCAACTGCAAGGATTATTATTACTATCATGTCGTTGTGACGTCTCAAAGTGCTTCACAGAATATATATTGTAAAGTGGATTGACTGTATTAATAGAATGCAATGCAACACAACTCAACAAAACACAACGTAACAAAACGCAACACAGCACCACAACAACAACAACAACAAATTACATTCGTATAACACAGGGTAAAGTGACTGGTGCAAAGCCAAATACACGCATGGACTACAGACTTTACCACGATGAGTAACATTTCTCTAGTTGCCTTTCAGCGAGGAGAAACTAGTCCAAAGGGTATTTATTTTTATTTGTTTTAAAAAAATTAAAATGCAAAAAATATCTGATGAAAAAAAATTCACCTGAAGGGAAAGACAATCATCAGCTAAAGAGCTTTGACCTTTTGGTGTTCATTCCTTCAAAAGACCATGAACACAGAAGACCTCAGGCACTAGGGCAAATCTTCTCAGCGTAATAGTCTTTCAACTTGCTGTTATATCAAATTTGCATTTCATCAAATACTAATTGTAGACAGTGATGGCAGAATATTTGGACAGAGGAGGCATGAACATCATCAGCTATATAAGAATATGGGGAGCGAGCAAAGTTCAGTTCACCAAAATGAATAATAATATTAATAATAATCCTTGCACTTGGTACATCACCTCATTGAGACGTCCCAAAGCGCTTCACAGGATATACCGTAAAATTAATTGACTGTATATCTGATAGGTGAAAGGCGGCAGCTAATTGCGCACAGCAGTGTCCCACAAAGAGCCGTGGATTGAGTGACTAAATTATTATCATTATTTATTAAAGGATTATTGTTTATTATTAGTCTGTGAATGTGTTTAAGGCTCGAACACCAATATCTTGAATTCAGATGAGGCTTGGCTATTTCCAAAGCTGGAGCGTAGTGTATGCTTCGAAGATACTTATCAGATTTTCAGTAACGCTTTCAGATAATTTGTCAATTATTTGATAATTCTTCTTCTTTCTGTTTCAGCTGGAAGGACACATGAGCAGTCCTTACGAGATCCTTGAGTCAGCATTGAGTAGTGCACCTTGAGACGTCTTCCTGATGTGAAAGGCACTATGCAAATATAATTTGTCGTTGTTGATGTTGTATGTGCACATATCTCTTAAAAGGTCAATGTTCAGTATCTCCATAGCCATAGCCTGCCTGATTGCAATGGTGTGATCATTAACTTGGGTTACGAGATTGCTCCAAGCAAGGCTTTAAGAATAAATCAAACCCATATTTGCGGTTTAAGACAAGAGCTTCCACGGATTAATTTCAAACAGACCACTGTAGCTCAAGTTGAGCAATTTGTATGACAAATTATCTGAAAACATAACCGAAAAGTATCTTCAAAGCGTACACTATATTCCAGCTTTGGAAATAGCCAAGCCCTCATCTGAATTCAAGATGATAGTGTTTGAGCATTAAACACATTCACAGACTAATAATAAACAGTAATACTTTAAAAAAAAACAATACTTTGGTCACTCAAGCCACGGCTGTTTGTGGAACACTGCTGTGCAGAATTGGCTGCCGGGTTTCACCCACAAAATACACTTTACAGTATATTCTGTGAAGCACTTTGAGACATCGCAAAGACATGATGAGGTGCTGCGTCAAATGCAACAATGATTATTATTATTAATAGTAGTTGAGATAGCGCCTTTCACATTAGGAGGACATCTCAAATCTCAAAGGATTTACTGTAAAGTCTAGTAACTTATCTATTTTTTTGGCAACCAATTCACACACAGCAAAATACTCGCTGGAGAATTCTGATTGGCACGGTGTCACGGAAGAAACTTCAGAGTACGATCGAGCTCCAGGTTTCAAATTCAGTCTCCCCTTTCTCCTGCAGCCAGGAGGCAATGCAAAATGTCGTGGCTCCATCATTCAGTTCCCTTTCAGTGTCCAGCCCTTGACACATGGCGACAGGGGAAAACAGTTCTGGGGCTCTGTGTAGTTGCTGTAGTGCAGTAATCATTCTCTTGAATGATTAGGTATGTTTTGTTTGAAGCCTGCTGGAACGGGCCAATTTGTGTTGTATTAGAGTAAATAGGGAGGTGAGGAGAATGATGGAATGCTCTGCTGAGAGCAGTGGTTGTGGCATAATCCATGTTGAGTTTCAATAATGATAACAATAATAATAATCCTTGCATTTGATATAGCGCCTTAAGGGATCTAGATTAAAAAAAAGGAGTAAACTACAGGGGCAAAGTATGGCCGAAGAACTACTAAATGGGACTGAAAGGATTGCTCTTGAAAGAGCCAACACAGACACATTGAGCGAAATGGCCTTCTTCTGTGCTGCTCGGTGGTTCTATGCTAACACTGCGGCTTTAGAATGCAAGTTGGGTTATTAGCCCATGGGCAAACCAAGTTCAAATTGATAGTACGTGCCCTTAATGATGAAGTGAATTGCAGGTAATTCTGTCACCTTTTTATTGGTCAATTATTTCATTATAAGGGCATGTGTATGCATTTGAGCACAGGTTAGCCCATGGGCTATGATTATGACCGACCTGCATTTTAGACCCGAGCAATGTCATGTGCTGATTATTGCAATGCGGAAAAGTGAAATAAGTGAAATCACACCGCTTTTACTGGATGTTGCTCTGTCCAGCATATCAGCTGAATTAGTGATCAGTAATGGTTGAGAGCCCATCCTGGAAATAATCAGATAGCACCTGGAACTTTCTATATCATTGCTAGATCATATAGCAATAGGGTACTATGTCAAATGCGAGGTATTTGTAATATCGGACACACTTAAATATAAAAAAAGTGCTTCATCAGACCAACATTTTACACGCTAGGCCATTTTTAGCGTACCTTTTTTGTAACTTGAATGCATGCTTCCAGGGCGTCTATCCCTAAAAATAGATGCCCAATACATAGATTTCCTATAAACATGCAACCCAGTTATAAGAAAGATTTGAAAATTATGTTTAAAGTTCACCAATGATTTTTTTTAAACATATCTTCATCGGTTTCAATCCCTTGAACAATAGAAAGCAACTATGATTGATGGTTTTATAATAATAATAATCCTTGACCCTTATCACGTCGTTGAGAGGTCTTGAAGCACTTAACAGGATAGATTATGAAGGATATTTCCCCTCTGCTTCAAAAAAACATTTTATTCACCTTCAAAAGTTGGCTCAACTGATACTATTACCACAACAGTAGTTGTGTAGTCCTGTAGCTCAGTAGTTACACCATTCGTCTTGCAAGCGAGAGGACCTGGGTTTGATTTCCGGGTTGGGCGAAACTTTAAGCAAACCTTACTCCACATGCCTCTGTTTACCTCGCAGTAAGTAGGAACCCAGTTGGCGGATTGCTTTTCCGGGGGTACTAATCCCTCCAAGTAAAATAAAAATTTGTTCACTCAATCCACTACTGTGCGCAATTGGCTGCTGTGGTTCACCCACAAAATATACAGTCAATTCACTTTACAGTCATTCTGTGAAGCGCTTTGAGACTGTCTTGAAGATGTGATCAGGCGCTATATCAAATGCAAGGATTATTATTATAAAAGGCAAAATACTGCAGATACTGGAAATCTGAATAAAAACAGAAGTCGCTGGGAACACGCAGTAGGTCAGGCAGCATCTATGGAGAGAGAGGAAAGTGAATTAATGTTTCAGGTCGATGACCTTTCATCAGAACTCTATGTTCCAGCGACTTCTGTTTTTAGAATTATTATTATTTTATTATTGTTGTTTATTAGGGTTATTATTATTTTTATTATTGTTTTTATTATTTGTATTATTATTTTATTATTATTTATTATTGTTGTTGTTTTTGTTATTTTTATTATTTTAAAAGTATTTTGTGAATGTCATTTTTATTATTAATATTATTATCTATTATTATTATCATTATCATTATTGATTGGTATTATTATTTTGTATTATTAATAATTATTATTTATTATAATTATGTTTATTATTTATTATTACGCTTCTTCTTATTATTATTATTATTTATAATTAGTATGATTATTATTGTTACGTTTATTATTATGTCTATTATTGTCCATTATTATGTTTATTATTATTTATTATTATGCTTATTATTATTTGTTATTATTTATAATTATTATGATTATTATTGTTGTATTTATTAATTGTTTATTATTTATTTATTATTTATTATTATGTTTGTTATTATTGTATTTATTATTATTTATTATTATTATGCTTATTATTATTATATGTAGTATTATGTTTATTATTGTATCCATTATTTTTATTATGTTTGTTATTATTTATTATTATTATGTTCAGTATTACTATACTTATTATCAATTTTATCATTATATTTATTATTCATTATTATTTTGGTGACTGTCATTATATGTATTGTGATATTTACTATTATTTATTACTGTTATGATGTTTATTATATTTATATGTTGCTATGATGGCCACAGCCATCCCTGTCAGCCGGGGAGTGGCTGGGAGTTGTAGTCAATTGATTGCTTCCCGGGAGGGGAGGGGGACCAAGACTACAACTCCCGGCGTGCAGCGGGGTGTGGGGGTGGTGGTGGCGGCGGCGATGCCGCCGGAAGAGGAGAAGAGAACCACATCTCCCGGCGTGCCTAGCGCGGCGACGGCGTCGACGCATGCGCGGCGCATGCGCAGAGCCCCGGGAGAAAGCGGACGGGGCCTTGGGAACCTGGAGCTCGAGTCGGAGCCGAGGGACGTGTCTCGGTGCGGAGGAGGGAAGCAGATCCCAGTCAGGATGCACCCAGGCTTCGCTGTGGGCCTGGTGTTCACGGGCTGCACCAGTAACGTGGTGTTCCTGGAGCTGTTGGTCAGGTGAGAGGGACCGTTTTGGGGCCCTGTCAGGGGGTGTGTGGTGGGGGTGTGGGAGGGGGAGAGGGTCGTGTCCTCGTGGCTCTCGGTGGCCACCAGGCACCACAGGGCACAGGACGAGGCCATCCAGCCCCTCCAGCCTGTTCCCCCTCCCGTCGCCCCCTTAATATATAACGATTCGAGGCGTCTCGAAGATGCGACGCGGCGCTGCATTCGAGCGCGAGGGCTACTGCCGCCGTTATAAGAATAATCCTCGCGCCCGATGCGGCGCCTCATCACCTCGTCCTTGGGAGCGTCTCGAGGCTCTTCGGGGAATCTCCTGCAAAGCCAATCGACTACGTTTCGCGGCGAAGCGCGGCAGCCGACCGCGCGCAGCGGCGCCCCCCGCGACCAGCCGCGGGTCGAGGGCACCCCATTATTATTTATTTTCTTAACTCCCGGAAAGCAATCCGCCAATCAACTAACAACCGGGTTCCTACTTACTTACTTACTTACTTACTTACCGCGTGTGGAGTAACAACAACAGCAACAAGATTCCCTTTACAGAGCGCCTCTCACGTCGGGAGGACGTCCCAAGGCGCCGGACAGTTGGGTCGGGACCTGAGCATTGGGGGGAAATGGTCAGGGTGAGGGGAGGGGAGGGAGGGAGGGAGCGAGGAGGGGGTAGAGAGTCGAGAGGGGAGCTGAAGGCTCGGTCAAAGAGAAAGGTCTTGAGACCGGCCTTGAAGGAGGAAAGGGAGGAGGCGGCGAAGGCACTGGGGGATAGAGTTCCAGAGCCTCGGGGCTGAGAGGCTGAAGGCCACCGATGGTAGGGCGGTTGGGGCGGGGGATGTGGAGCAGACCGGAGCCAGAGGAACGGAGGGTACGGGCAGGAAAGTAGGGGGATAGTAGGTCGGAGAGGTAGGAGGGAGCGAGGCCGTGAACGGCCTTGTAGGTGAGGATGAGGATCTTGATTTCAAAACTTGCCGAAGGAAGGAAGGAAAGTAAGGAAACTTGCCTAAGGTTTTCCCCCCACCCGGGAATCAAACCCGGGTCCTCTTGCTTTGAGGCGTGCGCTCTAACCAGTACGCTACCGGACTTCTCTTGAGCAGCATTGGGATATCACCAGTCCTTGGCACTGACTGCTCTCATCAACAAACAACAACAACAACGAATTGGATTTATATAGTGCCCTTTAACGTTGGGAGGACGTCCCAAGGCGCTGGTCAGTGAAGGGTTTGAAATAAAGAGGGAAGGGGGTAGGAGGATGACTGAAGGCTTGGTCAAAGGTCTTGAGATGGGTCTTGAAGGAGGCAAGGGAAGGGGCAATGTCCAGTGTGAAGGGCGCTATATAAATGCAAGTTGTTGTTGATATCTGACAAGCAAGCAGACAGTGGATCAGTGAGTGGATCTGGAATCAAAAGTACCAGTGAAGTAGATTTCGAAATCATCTGCTTACATCAGGGGATGGCTTCCAACAACAACAAAATTACATTTGAATAGCGTCTTTCACATCGGGAGGACGTCCCAAGTTGCTGGACAGACAGAGTTTCAGACCCGAGGTGAGGGTCGGGGTGGGGGAAGGGTGAAGCAGGGAGATCAAAAGCACGATAGAAGAGGAGGGTCTTGAGGTGTGTCTTGAAGGTTGCAAGGGAGGGGGCGAGGTGGAGGGACTGCAGGATGGAGTGGGCAACTATGGATGGTGATGCTGTCAGTACCTGAGGTGAGGAGGCGCTGTCAGGGGCCAATCAGGAGAGCCTCGGTCTTGTTGACATTCAACTGAAGAAAGTTAGCTCTCATCCAGGACTTGATGTGTGACTAGACATTCTGTCAGCACAGCAGTGGTCCTAGAGTCAAGGGTGGAGGCAGAGAAGTAGAGTTGGGTGTCATCCACATACGTGTGGAAGTTGACCCCATGTCTGCGGATGATGCCACCAAGAGGGAGCATATAGATATTGAAGAGGAGGGGACCAAGGACAGAGCCCTGACGAACGCCACACGAGATGGTCCGGGGGCTGGAGGAGAAGCCATTTGAGGAGATGAAGTGCAGGCGGTGTGAGAGGTACGATCTGAACCAATCAAGGTCAGCGCCGTGGAGGTTGAGGTGAGGTGGATGAGGATAGAGTGGTTGACATTGTTGAAAGCAGCAGAGAGGTCAAGAAGGGACGAGGAGGCAGAGGGAGCACTGGTGGCAGATGGACAGAATGTCATTTGTCACTGACCAGGGCTGTTTCTGTGCTGTGGGTGGCACGGAAGCCCGATTGGATGGGATCGAGAAGGGAGTGGCGGGAGAGGAAGGAGTGAAGTCAGTTTACCGAACCCGCGCCAATAATTTTTCCTCTCAAATTTTTGCCTTTGATCACATTGGGGGCTACTGATTGCATTTGTACATCCCTAGATAGGTGCAGGAATAGATACAAGTTTCAACGTCAGGAGGTATAAAGCTCCCAAGTTCAGATTTTCCCAGCAGCGGAGAATGCAAATTCTATATTTGAATTTCCATGCTAATATCCTTAAACTCAATTTGCGTCATGAGACACTGTTCAAACTGACTGCTTACAATGTCTTTTGGGAAATTAGTTTGGAGGTGACCCATGTAAGGTTGCTGAAGTAGCCTTAGAGAGAGATTTTCAATAAAACAGCCCTTTAACTTCAGGCCATTAAGTCCAATATACCATCACGTTCAATAACACTTCTCCTGTTTGTTCTCTGCATGATGTTGGGGTTGAATACAAAATTCTATTCAATCAATAAGAATCTCAACAGTTGTAATGATAATAATTGATAAAATTGTGATGTCAAAATGAATCAAAGAAACTAACACTTTTTGAAGTGTAGTAACGTTTGTTTGACATAACCAAATTATTCTGTTTTATTGTACATTTGGACGTAGGAGCAATATTGTAGGAGCGCTCTTTAAAAGTCCTGTGGAGTCCTGTAGCTCAGTGGTTAGAGCACTCGCTTTGCAAGTGAGAGACCTGAGTTCAATTCCAGGCAGAGGGCGAAACCTTGGGCAAGTTTCCTTACTCCACACAGAGCCTAATAATAATCCCTCCAAAACCAAAAACAATAATAAATTGGTCATTTTCAATCTCCGACTGTTTGTGGGACATTGCTGTGCGCAATTGGCCGCCGCGTTCGCCCACAAATATACCGTCAATTCACTTTACAGTGTGTTCTGTGAAGCGCTTTGGGACGTCCTCCCGACGTGAAAAGCGCTATATCAAATGCGAGGATTATTATTATTATTAAAAAGCGTGCCATTGAAAGGTTCAATCTGAACCACCAACAGGCAAATGGAGAGGACTTTAGTTAAAGTCCAATTATTATTATTAATTTTGTTTCTACGCAGCAAATTGTTACGATCTCGAACGCACTGCCTGAAAGGGTGGTGGTGCAGATTCAATCATAGCTTTCAAAAGGGAATTGGATCATCACTCGAAAAGAAAAAAAATTGCAAAGTTACGGGGAAAGAGTGGGGGAGTGGGACTAATTGGATGGCTCTGTCAAAGAGCCGGCACAGGCACAATGGGCCGAATGGCCTCTTTCTGGTGCTGTAGGATTCTGTGATTCTATTTCCTAAGTAGATAGTGTTTAATGTGGAAGGAGGTGCTTATCAATGGGAAGTGTGCTTCAGCTTAAACAGCGTCATGATCTTCAGTGTCACCCAGTGTGGTTCCCCTTAGGATTGCTCGTTAATTAAATCTTACTTTCTGCTTGAAAGCTGATGCTCAGAAGCCTCTCCTCCCAAAGTTAGGACCCTCTCATCTTGTCTGCAAAGGATATTTAAGACTTTTGATGAGGAATTCTTTCAACCAGAGCTTAAAATTGTCAGGAGAATTGACCGTTACGATTTTAATGTGATTGATGCATTCATTGAAATCCCTTTTTTTTCCCACCTTGCAGGCGTTTTCCAGGATGCGGGAATATAGTGACTTTCGCACAATTCCTATTTATAGCTCTGGAAGGCTTGATTTTCGAAGCTAATTTCTTCAGGAAGCCCCGATTCATTCCGTTCAGGTACTTTGGCACGGGTGGGGGTTGAAGGGGAGGGGGAGTGTTGGGGTGGGGGTTGAAGGGGCAGGGTGCATCTTCAACAAGTAGCTGTCAGAGGAAATATGGGGAGTGGGTGGGTGGGGGAGAGGAGAAGAAGCTCAAAGTCCCAATGTTGGGTTTGAACTCACAACTTTCTGACGACCCCATTTCAACCTGTCCGCTCCCTCCACTCAGCGGGCTGCAACCTGCTCCACGTCCCCCACCCGGCCTGGCCCGCCCCACCCCTGCCTCTCTGCCCCAACCCTGTGAAACTCCATCACGGTCCCTTCGCCTCGCTCCCTTCCTTGCCTCCTTCAAGGCACGTCTCAAGACCCTCCTCTTGGACTGCGCCTTCGGCCGCCCTCCTACCCCTACCTTCCATAGTTTCCATCCATCCTGATCCCAACCACCAGCTCGGGTCCAAATCCCTGACTGTCCAGCACTTTGGAACGTCCTCCGGGCATGAAAGGCGCCGTTCAAATGTATTTGTCGTTGATGAGAGTGCTAGTCAACTAAGCCTGGCTGACTACTCTGCTATATCCAGTGTTATGGGAGATCACTGCTGGGGCTGGATGCCGATTGGGAATGCTTTACTGAATTGTTTTCTAATTGCGGTTTATATAGATTCTACGGCACGGAAACGGGCCATCTGGCCCAACTTGCCGGTAGCTGTCGTCCTCTCTGTTCTCTGTCCTTACAGGCACAACAACTTGCATTTATATTACACCTCTCACGCAGAGTAGCGTCCCAGAGCACTTGACAATGGCAGAGCACGACGCCGCGCTGGGGTCGGGGAGGCACGGTCGAAGAGGAAGATCTTCAGACGCGACCTGAAGATGGGAGAAGGAAGGAGCAAGGCGGAGGACACACATTAGTTTCATTCTAATCTCTCCTATCTTCCTCACCAGGAATTACACAATTATGGTGACCATGTTTTTTGTTGTAAGCGTGATCAACAATTACTCCCTCAACTTCAACGTCCCTATGCCGCTGCATATGATCTTCAGATCTGTAAGTAGCAGCCACTCACTTAAGTGAATTTCATCTTTCAACGTACAAACTTATTTGAGCAAGCTTGATCCAGTGATGAGAGCACAGTAGGGTGGGTGTTCCAGAGGGATGAGATCAGAGGGGGCAAAGAAGTACTGAAGTATTGAATCATGACGCTATGGGAATTCCTGAGGTTTTTCTTGATTGTTTTAGGGGATCAAAGAGCGTAATGCGGCAGCCACCAACCTTGTTGAGTTCTTTCCTACTGTTAGCATTGGGATGAAGTATTACTGTTAGCATTGGGATGAAGTGTTGAAGGGATGCATGCATTGTGATGTGGGCAGGGAGAGGGCTTCACTAGTCAAGTGACCTTTCGTTCATTTGTTTTTTGTTGTGTTCTGGGCATTCAATCTGTTGACATTCAGTAATTAGACTCGAGTATGAATAGTGGCCACTTAGGTGAGGTATCAGGAAGGACAGTCAGTGCCCAGAAACACTTATTATATTATATATATTGTGATTATATCACAATCACTGCCTTGAGCAGATGGTGTGAGGTGGAGGAAATTTAAAAACTTAATAGATTTTCATTTGGCCAACATATTCGAGGCCTTCATTATTGGTCTTAACCTAAGACCATTGTCTTAAACATTTAGATATCGCAGAATTTGGGAAAAATGTTCAAATCAGCTTTGATTTGGATGCCTTTTTTTCCACAGATCCTTGTTAAGAGCCACAGGAAAATAGCTTCTAAATTGGGCCTGAATTTGAGAATTTTCCAAAATGCTGCTGTCTCCTTGTCTCTGAGGTCAATGAAGCAAAAAAACACACAACTCACTTGACGTCTTTTTTGCCTTACAGGGCTCGTTGATAGCCAGTATGATCCTTGGGATTATGATATTGAAGAAGAGGTTAGTTATTTTGTCTGGTGTACATTATGTTTATGGCCTTGTTCTGTTCCAGTCACCACCTAATTTTGTCATTCATTCCACGACTGTTGGTGGGACACTGCTGTGCGCAATTGGCTGCTGCGATTCGCCCACAAACTACAGTCAATCCACTTTACAGTACATTCTGTGAAGTGCTTTGAGACGTCTTAACCACATTTGATCAAGCGCTATATCAAATGCAAGGATTATTAAAGCGCTCTGAGACACTGCCCCGCATGAATAATATATGTATTGTATTATGTGATTAATATAAAAACTATATTATGTGAGTTGTACATTCAACAGCTTTGTAAATGTGGAATCGATATTTTATTGAGTATTTCTTATTTCTATCCCCTGTTTACTTGATAGATATTCATTGGAAAAATACATCTCAATAGCCTTGATCTCTGTGGGGATTTTTATTTGTACCTTAATGTCTGCCAAACAAGTGGTAAGCATTTTTTTTCTTTCGCATTTAGAGTTATCTATTTTTGGTATTTGTTTTACAGAACGCTATAGATTAGAAGCACAGAAATGGGTTATTCAACCTTTCAAGTCCCATTAGAGTCCTAAATATCACATCCAGGCTCGACTATGCAAACGCCCTGCTTGTCAGCCTTCCCAACTCCTCCCGCCACAGGCTGCAGATAATCCAGAACTCTGCAGCCCGTGTCCTCTCCTGCACGAAACTCCGCGACCCCATCTCTCCCATTGTCACCCAACTCCACTGGTTTCCTATCCTTCAGAGGGTCCGGTTCAAGATCCTGGTCCTCACCTACAAAACCCTCAATGGCCTCACCCCACCCTACCTCTGGACCTCCTTAGCCCCTACAAACCCACCCGTTCCCTCCGCTCAGCCGGCTCTAGCCTGGTCCACGTCCCCCGACCCACCCGCACCACCATTGGCTGGAGAGCTTTCAGCCACTCTGCCCCCAACCTCTGGAATTCTATCCCCCAATCACTCTGCCTCGCCCCCTCCTTAGCCTCCTTCAAGTCCCACCTCAAAACCCTCCTCTTTGACCATGCCGTCGGTCACCCCCCTTCCCATCCCTTCCCTTCTCCCCCCTGACCCCAACTCAGGTCTGATATGCTGTACACTGTCCAGCACCTTGGGACGTTCTCCTGACGTGAAAAGCGCTTTACAAATGTAAACTTGTTGTTGGACAGTCCTCATCTGAATTACCATGTTCATATTTGGACACACAATCTTACTAGTCTTTAGTGTGTCCAGCTACGGTTCACTAGAAAATACCTGAAAAGATGAGACTTAGCATAATGAGAGGGTGGGTGGACTTGGGTCTATTCCTTTGAGCAGAGGAGACTAATTTAGGGCGATTTGATTGAGGTATTTAGAATGATGAAAGGAATTAGCAATCAAATGACCTCTGTCTTGCTTCCCCGTGTCCCCCCCCGGCTTCAAAACCGGCCTCAGTGACCTATAAGTTACTGCACTTTACAGTAAATCCTGTGAAGCGTTTTGAGAATATCTCCTGTGAAATGCGCTGTTTTAAATGTGATTATTTTTCTAACATTCTGCGGATCTATCAATTGTTTGTTTCAGTCATCGATTGAAACGGGTGATCATAGCCTCATACACTGGCTGATAGGTAAGGAAACTCATTTCTATGGACTTCATCAGTTTTACTGTGCAAGTCAAGGGCGACTGTACTGTGTGCCTCAGGATAACTTGTGGCTGTCTGGGGTAGTTTGCTTGGGGTGTGGATGGTACCTTTGGACAGAACACTGTTTTTCGGGCTGCGTTACCTGGGGTCGATCCCAGGGTGAGGGGAGGGCTTCTCTTTCACAGTGTAACAATATGACGAAAGTCTTAAGTCAGTTAATGGTGGATGGAAGTACCAACAAATTTATCGGGTTCACCCATGGTCATATATTTGACCAAATATTCAACGCACACAAAGATGTGGAGGTGTGTACTGTATGTGTGTGAGGGCGGGGGGTGTCTGAGTGCTTCTGTAAGAGAGGGTTTCAAGAAGGTTTTGGGAATAATGATCATGTTGGTCTGCCAAGACAATATTTCTGCTATTGGCTGCTTTCGTTCACAGACGTTATGTTGTGCCCCTTCCTTTGTGCAGTTTTGTGAAGTTATGATAGCACGTCACTTTGGCTGACATTTCCTGTGCAGCGCTGAGGGAATTCTGCATTGTTATAGGTGCTGCCTTTCAAGGTCCCGTCTGAAAAGTCTTCCGTGTTATATTGAACCACAGCCTGTTCGCTAGTACTCAGGCTATTCTCAGCTGATTTCACGTGGGTAAATGTCTTACTCTTGTGACCAGATAGGGACACTGGAACCAGGCAAACTGCTGAATGCTTCCTCCTTTGAATCAAAGTTCAATAAATAGCCATCTTTAATCATTGATGGAGGCTTCCTCTCTCTCTCTCTCTCTCTCTCTCTTTCTTCAATTCCCCCTTCGTTGACAAATATTCCCTGATATAATTCAAGAAGCAAATTCCTTCATCAGGTGATACTACATCTTTATCGAAATTTTAAAAAAAATAATCTGGTCACTAAATCCGGTTGTTAGTCGATTGGTGGATCGCTTTCTCTCCCCCACAAAAATAATAACTTGGTTACTAAATCCACGACTGTTTGTGGGACACTGCTGTGCGCAATTGGCTGCCGCATTATACTCTGTGAATATTCTGTGAAATGCTTTGAAACGTCTCCAAGACGTGATAAGGTGCTGTATCAACTGCAAGGAATATTATTATTATTAATATGGTCATTCCAAATGTTTCCCATTGCAGGTGGGAAAAAGTGGAGGGACACTTACTAAACCCCCTTTTTTCTTTTCCTTTTTCCTTTCACCTTCTCCCACTCCCCCCACCCCCTCATTGTAGGTATTAGTATGCTGACCGTTGCACTTTTCATGTCGGCGAGAATGGGAGTCTTTCAGGAGAGCATCTATAAGGAGCACGGCAAACACTCCAAGGAGGCCATGTTTTACAATGTGAGTTAACCCTTTTATACTCCACCCCCATTTCCTCTCTGTCAAGTGACGAGAGCAGGAAGGGTTCCTTCAGGTCACGTGGATGGCGCATATTTTTGTTTTGGTCAGCCGGGTGTCTGACACATGCGGAAACCCATCACCGTGCTTAAGAGTATCCAAACCAAACTGAGATTTCCGTGCATTCCAAACCAACACATGGAAATCCCAGAGATAGATTGTTGAACTGGAATGCGCACTCTCTCCCTGGGAGGGACACATCCTGCTTATCTAATTCCAGAAAGTATTATTCTGCGTCCAATTCGCGTCTGGAATTACAGTGCCTCAGTGCAGTAACTGTGCTGGTCAGTGTTGGGCAATGCCCTGTGTTAAAATGGTTTGTAACTCTCTCTCTCTCCCCAGCACTTCCTACCGTTGCCGGGGTTTCTCCTCTTTGCCTCTGATATTCACAGACACGGAGTCCTCTTCAGTCAGTCAGGTGAGCCCTGTTCTTTTAAGGTAAAAAGATTTATACATTATCTTTGATATTGGGTCATTTCAAAACGTGAAGAAATAGTTGAACCCTAACACTTATTCCTTGAGTAAACACATTTAATATATATATATACAGCTGATAGTCAATACAATTTTTCGTGTGTGCAGTTTACATATAACATGAGTGTAGAGATGTAGAGTGGATACCACACTGTAGTTGGATAAAATGCCAACCAGCGCTATAACTGGACGAGATCATTGTTCGATCCCGTTCACTGCAGGTGTGCGCAGATGGCTGCCTGGCTTTTTGTCTGCTTAAAAATGAAAACTGTCCGACGTCTGGGTCATGATGGGCAAGATGTCGATGACACTCTGATCCTTGGAAGTCGGCCAGTTTTTAGCAGGCGGAAAGGCAGCCTGTGTTTTACAGTGAGCCGGCAACCTTTCTGTACCCTGTTTTAGGTAAGTAAACAAATGGCATCGTGCCGAGTTCCTATTGTATATGGATGTTTTGGGGAGTGAGTTCCTGGTTAGAGTCTGAGGGTTTGGGTAGCGTTTGAGTTAACGAACAGGAATATATGTTCTTGTACAGTAAAACTCACACAAGTCTGATCTGTATAAATCGTATAATGGCCTAAGTCGTACATCTGCCCAGGTCCCGTTCAAGATTTTATACTCTATCCAAGTTTGACAACTCATACTTTGCATAAAATCATATTAAATGTATGGTCCCAACTGATACGACTTGTGTGAGGTTTACTGTATCTCAATCCATTCACTTGGACCTCGTGGCTTGTTTTCCGATGGGATATTTTGTCTGTGCAGAGCCAGTGGAGCTGCCGTTGCTGGGAATGACGGTACCAATCATGTGGCTCTACCTGGTGCTGAATGTTCTGACTCAGTATCCTTTCAATGTGCAACGTCGGCGATTTTGCGGTCGGGAGAAATTGATATTTTCCAATCACGAAACTCTTTGTCTCTGCTCCATCTCTACCATCTCTCTGGCTACTTTCCCCCCCTCTTTCCTCCCCTCTCCCAAACCTCTATAACCTTGGGCACTGAGAACAATTATAGTGCTCTGATTGGGATTGAAGCTGAGATCTTGCTATCCGTGTGGCTAAACCCACATTTATACTGCACACTTGCCAATGATTGTACACCAAACGCAGGGTTAACCCCAACATCAGCAGAGCACACGGGTTAGTGACTGGTACAACTCAGTCCGACTCGGTCTAATTTCTGTAAACTCCACAGGCCCGCGCTGTTCGTCCCCTCTTAATTGTATAAGGCGAGGTTAAAGAAGAGTCTTGAGACGGGTCTTAAAGGAGGCAACAGAGGGGGGTGAGGCGAAGGGACTGGTGGCAGAAAGACTGAGGGCCAGACCACCGCTGGTGGAGCAGGCAGGGTGGGGGAAGTGGAGCAGGCCAGAGCCCGCTGATCGGTGGGAGCGGACAGGTTGATATGGAAGTACGTATTCATTCCTTAACGGAGCCTCCTCAGATATGTCTGTATCCGCGGTGTTTTCATTCTGACGACCGAGTGCACGTCCCTGACCGTCACGCTGGTGGTGACCCTGCGCAAGTTCGTCAGCCTCATCTTCTCCATCATTTACTTCGAGAACCCCTTCACCCTCTGGCACTGGTTAGGGACAGCGGTGGTGTTCGTCGGCACCCTGATGTACACCGAGGTTTGGGGACATTTCAGGACTCTGCTTGGAGGACACAAGAAAGTAAAGGACAAATAGGTTTGCTGTCATTTTGCTGGACCAAGTCTGACAGGAGTGAACAGAGGCTCGGATGGAGTTTGCTGGTCAGTGATAACTCTTCCCCTTTCAGAAATGTCAAAGTGACTGTCCAGGCAAATCTCTCTCCTTTGCCCTTGAAAATTTGATTTTTTTTTTGCAACGGCTATAACGGGTATCTAAAAATAATTTTTCCTTCCCACTGCTCTGTGAAGATTCACTGAAATCGGTCTGTTTGAGTCATTATCTGTTTGAGACAGAACTAGGATTCAGAGACTGGTTTTGAAAAGGGCCAGAGGAGTAACCTTCCATCCGGTGGCGTTTCAGCAAGTATAAGAGATTATTAATTGGTTTTCTGGGGGTAATAATCCCTTAAAATAATAATAATAATTTAGTAATAATAAACTCAATCCATGACTATTTGTGCAATTGACTGCCGGGTGTTTTCCACAAAATATACATTCAATTCACTTTACAGTATATTCTGTGAAGTGCTTTGAGACGTCTCGAAGACGGGATAAGGCGCCACATCAAACACAGTATTGTTATTAGATTGCTGGGTGAATGCTCTGCATTGCCAGAGATGCCTTTCTTCAGATGAGACATTAAAACTAGGTTCCCGTCTACCTGTTCAGGTAGACATTAAAGATCCCGTGGTGCTATTCGAAAACAGAAGGGATTTTCTCCCTTTGTCCTGGTCAACCGTCCCCCAGATAAATTTGGTTACTCAATGGGACATTAATGTGAACAAATTGACCGCCACGTTTGCTTACAAAAATACAATCACCGCACCTTAAGCAAAAAAAAATCGGGTCATTCAATCCATGACTGTTTGTGGGTCATCGCTGTGTGTAACCGGCTGCCGCATTTCACTCACAAAGTACACAGTCACTTTGAGACTTCTCACCGACATGATAACTGCAAGGATTATTATTATTATTTACAGTGACTGTTACAAAGTGCTTTGAGGCATCCTCCCGACGTAAAAGGCGCTATATCAAATGCAAGAATTTTAATTTAAGTGCGGGAGCTTCAGGCAGGCTTGGGCTTCCGAGTGCACTCCATGGCAATCAAACTCCTCCGCAGACGATCCCTTGCGACTGTGCTCCGATACCACATACTCCCAGAGCAGAGTTGGCTGACTGAAACTCCCGTTAAGAAATACTGCTCGACCTGTTACCTCCCGGCTGTGGTTGAATTCCAGTTTGGGTTGATGGGGTGAAGGCAGTCACTGTCTGCCAGGGCATAAACGGGGGGGAAAACACATGAGATTTTTCTCCTCTTGCACTGCAGTTAAATGCAGACAGGATAAAGGGTCACCCTGAGCTACTGTGTCCAGACTGCTCACTGAGTTAAAGTACAAACCTATCGCTTGCAATTCAAATGGAGCGGCTTTGTTTCAAATGATTTCTTTCACCTTTTCTTTGTCAACAGCGGCTCAGCGCAGGCTGTGTGGTTGATGCTGAACGTATACATTATTGTGTCGTTTGTGTTTATTGCGTTTGTAACATTTTTAAGAGCTGAGATTTGCTGGAAAACCAAACCCCTGTAATTACACCTGCCTGATTTACACGTATTCTGCTTACATGTTACATTGGGCACGGTAATCTAGACTCCTCATTGTCTACTGGAACCAGGGAATCTTGTAGTTTCGCCCACAAAATACACAGTCAATTCACTTTACAGTATATTCTGTGAAGCGCTTTGAGGTGTCTCGAAGACGTAATAAGGCGCTATATCAAATGCAAGGATTGTTATTATTATTATTATCTGCTGGATGTTTTTCAACCCTGTCTCACTTTCTGGGGCTCCCTTGTGAAGGTTCTTTTCTCGTCCCGTTTTTGCCCCATCACTGTTTCTCACCTTATTTAGAACCATAGAGATTGAGGGCACAGAAGAAGGCCATTCGGTCCATCGTGTCTGCCGGTTCCCTCATGAGCAATCATTTCAGTCTCATTTTCCTGCTCTTTCCCCATACGCTTGTAGATGACTCTTTTAAAGGTATCCGCCGAGTCGAGGTCAATGATCACTTTAATGATCGCCACCTCAACGTTGCCTCAATGCGATTGAATAAGATGGAGCCCTGCTTGTGAAATCTGGGAATAATTGTTCACAGCGAGGTGGATGCTCAAATCCCAGATATCAATATAGTATAATATATTTAAACTAATCCATGACAGTATATTCTGTGAAGCGCTTTAAGACGTCTCGAAGATGTGATAAGGTACTATAACAAATGCAAGGATTATTATTATTATATCAGCCAGACCTGGGATTCAACCCCCAACTCTGAGGGTGAGTGGGTGTGTGCTTTGCAATGAAACAAACAAGGTGACATTGGTGAAAGGGAGAGAGAGGAGGGCTCGATGTAATTAGGTAGACATGCTGGCATGATCGTTGCTGGAGAGCAACGACAGTGTTTTATAAATGTTGCCGAGAGGATTATAGTTAGGAGGGGGCCACAAGTTTTTTTAATTTCCAATGTATTGAATATCTTTTTATAGAAGCAATGCTAGTCCATTACAACAATAAGACTGCATAAAACACCTTGCACAAGAAGGCAGAAGAACCTGTCGGTTTAATATTAAATAAAACCTCCTGTGTCTTCCAGTGTTTAATCTATCCAGTCAGTTGAAATGCTTCCTTTTGAATTGCAATGTACATAAGACATCGCCGACTTACTGTCTTATATCAATACCTCCAAGTAAGTGGAGTCCCGTAGTGTTGTGGTTAGAGCACTCGCCTTGCAAGTGAGAGGACCTGATATTGATACCCAGGCAGGGGCTAAACCTCGGTCGAGATTCCTTTCTCCACACACCTGTTTACCAAGCAGTAAGTAGGAATCTAGTGGTCAGCTAATTGGCAGATCATTTTCCGGGTTGTAGTATTCCTTCCAAAAAATCCCCACAAATTTGGTCGCTCAATCCACGACTGTTTGTGGGACGCTGCTGTACGCAATTGGCTGCTGCGTTTCACCCACAAAATATAGAGTCAATTCACTTTACACTATATCCTGTGAAGCACTTTAAGATGTCTCAACAGATGTCAAATGCTAGGATTATTATTGTGAAGTGTGAAGTACACAAGTGCAGGTGCTGCAATCACTACACTTTACAGGGTAATCCTGCTGACTCTAAGGTATATCAAATGCAAGGTCATTATTACTTTGTACAGAATAACAAGAGCAGACGCTGTGTATGGACACACTCCCATATAAGATGATACTTGAAACAGTGTGACTAGGTAGGAGCGGATCAGAAGGGTTTCAAGTGGATTGTAAATCACAAAAGAACCTGAGCTATTGGCACAAAATGAGCAATCGAGTGGCATTCCAGCCGGCAGCACAAATTGGCTCCTGCGTTTGCCTACAAACACAATCACCACACAGTCAATTCTGTGAAGCGCTTTGAGATGTTCGAATGACTTGGAAGAGAATCACGGCAAGAAAAATCTGGACGATATTCAGAACCAAACCTCCGTTCCCAAACTCTGTCTGACAAGGTGGGAAGAACTTGACAATGCAAATTGACTGACAGGACTATTTGCTCGGCTTTTTAACAGGGGCTTTGCAACTTGGGACTTAAGATCATGAATTTTGCAATGCATTAGTAACTTGCAATTAATGCAACACATCTGTGTGCAAACACCTCTTCACGAGCATTCAGAATTCAGTGAATATTCCATACACTTCCACCTGTAAATGACGGAGACAGCGTTCAACTTTACTTTGGTCTCCTGTTCTGTACCTGTTTATATGTAGTAGTATAGTTTTCAATGTGTATACCTTGGATTCCTACTTTATAGCTGAGGATTGTACTCCAGTATAGTGTCATTTCTTACCTCAATAAAAAGTTTGTACCTCAATTTAAAAAAGTTGTCTTTTGCAGTTTTTCTGTTGGATATAATCTATAAGCTGATCATTATGGCTGAATGTTTGTGGTGTGCTTCACTGCTTTCTCTTAAGTCTTCCCACTCCCACTCCTCCGAACGTGTTGAATAAGAGATGCTGATGATCTTTCTGCTGCCTTGAATCAACCCCCCTGTTATGATATTGACTTGCAAGGTTATCAATAACTCAGTGGGAACCCAGTGTTGGATACTCATTAAGACAAGAAGGACCAATTGACGAGGACCAATGGAAGGGAATTAGGAGGTAGAAAAGCAGCAAGCAGGGAGAACTGAGTCAAGGGTTTTTGGTTGGACTGTTTTGGATTTGTAACTGATAAGCTGAAATAAGAGTGTTCTACATTGTTGAGACCATATAACACCCAGTTCCACTGCTCGGTGATGCGTTCTCCCAAAACCAATTGATGGAGGCAGGCTGATGAATTATTAACTAATTTCTCTCATTCCTTTCCCCACCTTAATCACTGCGCTTCTGTCACGATAGAGCAGAGAGTTGTAGAAACACCAGAGAATATAACAAATCCACTTGAGGGATTTATGTATTGAGCGCCAGAGGGAGTGAGTGGACTCCTCCAGGAGAGAAAATCGGAGCGGGATTTAAAAAAAACACAACTACAACAACAATATTACATTTGTACAGTGCCTTTCACGTTGGGAGGACGTCCCACGGCACTGGACAATCTGATTCGGACCTGAGCTGTGGGTCGGGATCAGGGAGGGTGGAGGGCGGGGTGGTGGGGGGGGGAGGAAGGTGATTGAAAGCACGGTCGAAGAGGAGGTTCTTGAGTCAGGGCTTGGAGGAGGCAAGGGAGGGGGTGAGCAAGGCCATGGAGGGCTTTGAAGGTGAGGACCAGGATCTTGAACTTACAATTCAACAGACATTTGGAATTTTTCCCTAAATTGTGATTATTCCTTGTAATTGATGGAGCAGCTGCTGGCGGCGGGGGCCTGAAGGCGCCATATGTGTGGAACGTTCTCGGGCCCTTCATCCCGCAGTAATTCACACTGTCTGTCAGATCCAGGTGGTACAGAGACACTCTCGCCTGCAGCTGACACGGAGAATATGTTTTGCAGCTGCCCTGCTTTAACAGCTCTGTCATCCAAGGTGCACTTCCAGCAGCCAGGCATTGTGAGCGTCATCCACAAGTCCAATTGCAAACCTGTTCAGATCGTGTACACCTCTCCTATTTTTCAGAATGCAGTTGAAACATGATGATCTGAGACCTCTCTCTCTCTCCTTTGCCGGACTCTCTCCTCTCCTCGCTTCCTTCGCTCTCTTGTCACTTTCTCCCGTGGAGACCTGTAGCGTAGTGGTTGGTGTACCCGCCTCGCAAGCGAGAGGACCCTGATTCGATTCCCAGACAGGGCGAAACCTTAGGCAAGTTTTCTTACTCCACACACCTGTTTACCTGCAACTAGTCGATTACCAAGGGTAATAATCCATCCAAAAAAAATTGGTCGCTCAATCCACGACTGTCTGTGGGACACTGCTGTGCTCAATTGGCTGCCGTGTTTCCCCACAAAATACCCAGTCAATCCATTTTATATGTGCTATGAAGGGCATTGAGACATCGCAACGATATGCTTAGGCACTATACCAAATGCAAGGAATATTATTATTAAACACTACCTTCTCTCCTTAAAGTAAGAAATGTCAAAGAGTATGCCGCTGTTTTAATACTGCCATAAAATCTACAGGTGTTTGTATTTCAAGTTTATTGTGGTATGTTGGCATATCTTCCTTTTTATATGGCAATAAATACAAATTCACACACTCTTAACCTTTAGCTGTGTTATATTCTCTGCCAGTAATGTGTCTGGTACATAATGCGATTTGACATTTGCTGTGTGTTGCAATGAAAGTAATCCTAATGTAGTATCTCTTCAGTGTGCACACACGTAAACCAGGATTATATGTTGGCCAAGAGGATGAAATGATTACACACGTCATGGAGAGAAAGGTCTCCCTTCCCCCACCCCTTCCATTAAATTGCATTTAATCCAATTGCATTTCTACTCTGTCCTAAACCTCAAACCCATTTAAAGACAGCCTTTCAATGGCTGGTGGGAGTATTGCAAAAAATGCATGCTGAAGGTTTAGATTAAAACACATTTTGGTGCAAAGCAAGAGGAACATTGTGCTCCATCTGATCAATTGCTGTTACCTGTTGAAGTGTTAGATGATGTTACTGTGTTGAAAAAAATCCATTCTGTTGATCTGGCTCACGTTGAGAATAAACCAAAGGATCTTTTTCATTGATTTTAACAAAAAGTTAATAAGGTGCTTGGCCAACATTTTGTTTTGACGTTTGACATTTAAGGCTATGTACCTGTCCATTTCCCTTCCTCCCACCCAACCACCCCTCCTCATACCTTTGAGCCCCAAGTGTAAAACCAGCATTAAATTTTCAGCAGAAAAAAATTGCAATACAATGCAAATTACATTTGTATAGCGCCTTTCACATCGGGAGGACATCCCAAGGCACTGGACAATAGCACGAATGTTAATGGTGGACAGATGGTGCAGTGCAAACTCATATTTAAAGACAGCCCCATATTGCCTTTCCCAAAGGTACTCTCATTAGCCATATTGAGATTTGGTCACCATCTCTTTCAAATGGAAAACAGAAAGTGTCCTCGGTTATGAGTTGTTAGTTTACTGAGGGGTCACAAAGTGAGTTCTACCGTATTTAAGAATTTTGCAGGAACTTTGCGGCCTCCTCTGATTCCAGTCCCCCAATTGGTATCATCTGCAAATATAACTGCCTTACATTGGTTCTGTGAGTCCAGGTCATTAACATATACAAGGAATAGGTAGGATCCCATTATAGATTGTTGTCTGTTTAGGGGGACATTAAAGATCTCAAGGCCCTGTGCACTGGCCAACAATCTTCCCAAAGAAAAATTGGTTATTCACCTCAATGCTGTTCATGGGGTTATTGCTGTGTGCAAATTCACCTACACATACACAATCACTACACTTCGCAATAATTCCTGTGAAACACTTTGAGAAATCTCGACGTTGTAATAAGGCAGTATATCACATGGAAAGATTATTATTACATAAGTAAATATCAAGCTGGTAACTGAGGCCTGGAGAAAACTGTGTGTTTGGGATGAACTAGCCTCCTCTAGTGACCAACGTGTAGTGTAGTAAAGACACATAAAGTTTCAGAGTAGAGGTCCACTTGCCTTCTCTCAAAGCAAAAGTTCTGCCCAATGGGCATGAAAGACAATGAAAACAATTTGTGGGAGGGCAGAATGATACTAAATAAAATGACAAATTCACAGTAAACAAATGTTTAATGATATCAACGAAGAGTTTTAGGAAGGAGTTAAATTTTCATTTTGGTGATAAGCAGGCTCCTCTGGGATTTCCCTCTTCCATCCTGACGGAATGGGAGGTAGAACAGGCTTAATATTATCCCCGATTCGAAAGGTAGGAGCAGCTACAGGTCCACTTAGAGATAACCTGGCTTCACGTTGCTCGCTGTCCTGTAAATCTTGATCGGATGCGTTGTCTGTCATGTCATCACCGAAACCATCTGCATTTTAATCAAAATACAATTGTTAAAATCGAATCACCATCTGTGTGCAAAGGCTTTTTGTAAGTAATATTAAGAATTTGTTCAGTGATTGGGTCCTAGAGGTGAAAGAGAATGGAAACTGACAACTGTACATTTCGGGAATAAATATCTTAACTAAGTTACGGTTGCAAAGTATTTTTTTTAAAAATCTATTATCTTGGGGTATTACAATTTAGGAACATAGGCATTGCTAGACTAAAATAGACACCTAGTCCTTCTACCATCCTGGTAGTCACTTGCTACAATAATGGAGATGTTGAGAGCAATTAATTCTGTGTGGATTGGTGTGTTAACACAGTGGAAAGCTTTGGGAACCTTAGATCCAAATCCTAGTTCTTCCAAGCCGCACTATACTTGTAGTGTCTCAAATTACTTATATACGGTATCCCAAAATATTATTTTCTCCCCTCCTTCCTGGAAATTTGTCAGTAGGGATACTGAATCTTCTCAAACTGAGAGAGCAGCCAAGCTATTGTCAGGTAAGCTCCTGCACATTCAAAATTGCTCTTCAGAGGATCAAACTCCCTTTCCCTGTGATCGGGAGACTCAGAGCAACAGGTGCAAAGCTTTCGATCTCTGCACTCCCAATCATGAAAAATTGAATATCTACAGTGAAACAAAATCCTACCTTATCTTAGTCAGTATCCCGTAAATCAGCAATCCATTGACTCATAAACAGTTATTTAAGCAATACAAATATTACATAGTGTGGCCCCCGTTATAACAATGATTTAGTTATAACTAAATAATTTGTTCACTCAATCCAAGACTGTTTGTGGGACCTTGCTGTGGGCAATTAGCTACCAGGTTTCGCCCACAAAATATACAGTCAATTCACTTTACAGTATATCCTGTGAAGTGTTTTGATACGTCTCGATGACGTGATAAGGCGCTGTATCAAATATTATTATAACGCAGTTGCCATGTGGACCCCATTCACTGTGCTCACATGTAGCCGGTTCGCTTGTTCGCTTTGACTCCAATAGGTTCAGTACGTCCAGATTAAGGCTGCCATTTACAGACAGAGAATCGCCGTGTTCCGAAAATATTTCAGCAGATGAAAATGTTGTCACACTTGAGGTGGTTTTGGACTCCTCAATATTGCTGGAGAAAGCAATGTTGGATTAGTAGTTAGACATAGGAAACAATTATTAATTATTCATAATTTGTAATCAATTATAAGAATCGACTGCTTGTGGAACACTGTTGTGCGCAAACGGCTGCTACGTTTCACCCACAAACTATACAGTCAATCTACTGTACAGTATATCCTGTGAAGCGCTTTGAGACGTTTCAACAACGTGATAAGGCGCTGTATCAAATGCAAAGATTATAAGGATTATTATTAACCATGTGAATACACAGGACAACAAAGCTAAATAATCCTATCTCTCGTAGCCGTGAAACAATTTCTTTGACAAAAAGGATCTAATTCCCTCTTGGCACAATTTTGAGTGAGCGAGTGCCAAACAGTAAGATAATAAATGGGCATTTAATTAGAATTGTATCCAGCCCAAAGCAATAGATTAAAATCACAGTCAAAACTGGTATGATTCACCACAAACGTGCAGTGCAAGGGCAGTAATAAGTTATTTTTCTTATCTTTATTTATCTTTTAGCAAATCACCATCATGCAATTCTCAACAGCCCACCCATCTCCCTCCTCATTCTTGCATTTAACTTAAAAGTTCTCCCATGGATGTTAAAGGTCCCGTGGGTGAAAAAAACAGGGAGTTTCCACCTGGTGTCCGACCAACAAAAATTGGTCATTCACTTCATGGCTTTGTGGGACAATGCTGTGTACAAAATTGTCTGTCAGGTTCGCTTACAAAACACACAGTCCACTTCACTTTACTGTATATCCTATGAGACATCTTCCTGAAGTGAAAGGTGCTGTACCCAACTTAAGAATTAATATTATATATTTTCTATGCAATACAATTTACATTTATTGATACAGCATCTTTCACATGGGGATGCCAGATGAAAGCACATCTCAGTGCTAGATGGGGTGGGAGCAAAGGTGGGGTGGGGGGGTGGGAAAGGGAAAATAACTGAAAGCGCAAAGAGATACGTTTTGAGACGTACCTTGAAAGAGGGGCAGGAACTAGTGAGTCAGAGGAATTTCAGGATGGAATTCCAGAGAGAACAGAATGGCTAAAGGTTACCTGAAAGTCAGAGTAGCACGAACAACGTGGTACCACTGAGCATATGCACATCTACAATGCATGATGCTGAACTGTAAGAAGCCGAGGTCACAATCAACTGGAAAAGATTATCAAGTAAGAATAACGGGGCTATTTTTGATGTGAATGTCATGTGCAATATGGTGTATCTGAGGCTAAAATGCATAATGGTTTCTGGGGAGCTGTGTCAGCTGGAATTAACACAGTGAAGGATAGACCTGTTCTGGCATTCTATCACGAGCACAGTGACTAGGACATGAGACTAACCTTCCCGTACAGCAAGGCCGTTTATCTTTTCTTATCGGACAATAGGTTGTAAAGTATGGTGATTTCAAACGTACGTCACACCAACTGCTCCAAAATTGACCAGAGGGAGTGACAGATTTAGTGATTCCACGTGGAAAACTTTAAGGATCTCTACATGTCAGATCCTAAACAGTAACTCAAGAGTATTTGTATAGAATTCATGGAAAAATGAAGTGGATCTATATAGTCAATATTCCTATGAACAAACAACAATAACTTTCCATGTATACAGTGCCTTTCGCGTCAGGAACATTTGACAAAGCACTGGCCAGTTCAGGGTTTGCACCCAAGTTCTACTGTGTTAAGTCATATTCACTATTAATCTAACTGTATCAGTCAGTTCCAGTAGACATCAAGAATATGAATCTACAGAACACAGGACAGACTGAGAGGCCAAAACCTTGAATGCTTTACAAACCGCAGAACGCAGCTCAGTCCAGAGAAGTGTTTGGAACATCCTGTAGTTTGGGAAACTCTAAAATTCGATAGTTTTCAAAGGCCGCACCACCTGAGAACCTGTGTCATTTGTCATCAACAGTTACAAGCTACGAAATATGATCAGAGCATCCTTTTTACTTCCACATACTGCAATCTTCAATGATTGGAACTGATAAACCGAAAAGCAGAGATCTGTGGAGTTGATGTTTGACATGGTATGAATAGATCTGTGGCCGGTTTGGAAATATGCCAACAAATAGCTATAAATCTCTTCATCCTGGCTTGTGAAGCCTTTTAACATCTCTGGAACGGCATTTTTCAAGGGCAGATTTTTATAGTGTAATTCATCATTTTTCCCCGAAGCATGAAATACCCCCCCGCCGAAAGCAGACCTTTTACAATATTCAACCAACATGTGCAAGGAGGACGGCAGAGATAGTGAAAAGGTGGTGTCAGAAACTCGAAGAGGGGTTAAAGATGGATAGTAAAGTGAAAGCTATGGTTCATATGTCCCGGGCAGGGTGAAAACTTAGGCAAGTTTCCTTACTCCACATGCCTCTGTTCACCCAGCAGTAAGTAGGAGCCTGTTTTTTTAGCTGATTGCCGGATCATAATAACCCCTTCAAAAAAATAATAAAATAATAATTTGATCACTCAACCCAAGTAAATAGGAATCTGGTTATTAGTTGATGGGCGGATCGCTTTCTGGAGGTAATAATCCCTTCCAAAAAACAAATTGGTCAATCAATCCACGACTGTTTGTGGAACACTATTGTGTTTCGCCCACAAAATATGCACTCAATTCACTTTACGGTATATTCTGTGAAGCGCTTTGAGACGTCTCACCGATGTGATAAAACGCTACATCAAATGCAAGGATTATTATTACATCTGTCACTTCACTGTGGTTTGGCGAAGTCAGCTCTGAATAATGACTGAGAAACTGTCAGGGAATGGAGTTATTAAGTTGCAATAAGTAATGCCAACATGATGACCGATCATGATGCTTAATGATAAAGCAGTTCAGTGCAGCAAATTTGGCTTGAAGTATGTGAACAATGTACTTTGTTTTCAGTGCACAATTGGCAACTCAACAAACAGCTGATCAGACACTGGCTGTGTTCAATGGCTGTAGAGAGCTCAGCATCCAGACATGGGAAAACCGTCTTAATTACAGCAGCTGCGGACAAACCAAGTGTGGACAGACGTGACACAGCAGGTTTTTATGAGACCGCATCTTGATTTGCAAAACAAAAACAACAATATTTCCATCCGATGATAATAATAATAATAATCCTTGCATTTGATATAGCGCTTTTCACGTCGGGAGGACGTCCCAAAGCGCTTCACAGAACACACTGTAAAACGAATTGATCATATTTCTCAGCAGATCACCCCAAGGAGGATTCATTCTTGGTAAGTCCCCATCGCACCAGTTCTAGCCAGGCTCCACTGGCTCCCTTTCGCAGAACAGATCGATTTCAAGATCCTCGCACTCGGTTTCAAATCCCTTCATGCCCTGGCAGCTCCCCACCTCTCCGACCTGAATATCCCACAACCCACTACCTGCTGCCTCCGCTCGACTGGCTCGGGCCTCCAGCATGTCCCTTGTGCCCTCCATACCACTATTGGTTGCCGCGTTTTCAGCCATTACGCCCCAAACCTCTGGAACCCCTTTCCTCTATCCCTCCGCCTCACTCTCTCCTTCCCCTCCTTCAGGTCGTGCCTGAAGACCTTCCTCTTCGACCTTGCCTATGGTCACCCCCCATCTCCTCCTGCCTTGGCTTCGTGGTCTGCCACTCTCAAGCCCTCTGGGACTCTACTCTGTGTGAGGGATACTATATAAAGGCAAATTCTTGCTGCTGAGTCCCAACTCACACCCCCTTTAGAAGGAGCACTTTAAATTCAAATAAACAGCCCCAGCTTTATTGCTCCCTTTAAAGAGAGGACATATAGACATGAACACCATCTGGACAATAAGTGTATTCCAACATGATCATCAATCATGATATACAAGCTCAAAGCCCCACTTCAAGATCTTGATCTTATATGATCCAGGCTGACATTCCAATACGGCTCTGGGGGTACGCTGCATTGTTGGAGATGAGACTCAATTGGCTGCTGCATTTTTGCCCACAAAATACACAGTTGATTCACTTTACAATATATTCTGTGAAGCTCTGTGAGACATCTCAACTGTGTGATAAGGCACTATATCAAATGCAAGGATTATTATTATTATAACCATCTCAGTTCTGAGTTTTAGCCTATAACGCCTTGTAAAATATCCTTCCCCCTGAGGGAAGAGTGTCTATTATTTTACTTTCATTATTTTTGATGAATCAATGAAGTGACTTCCTCCTACACTCTGAGGGACGTAACCCTAGTTTATCCAAACTCTCAGCCTGACTAAATTTCTAAGCTATTAATCTAGTGGATGATCGCAGGATACCCTAAGATCTTACTTCCTAAGATAGGATGCCCCAAATTGAACACATACCTCCTGTCTTCAGGAGCCTTGCTGATCTGGGATTGTGTGCTGTTGCTTGCGTTGGGCATCATAGATGTGAAAAACAACACATCTGATAACTGTTCATCAGGTGCGCCTACATATGAGGAGATGACTGGAATTCTGCAGAAAGAAGATTCAGGTTTTCAATCTGTAATACTGCACTATCATAGGAATAACAACAAATTACATGTGTATAGCGCCTTTCATGTCAGGAGGACGTCCCAAGGGGTTGGACAGTCAGGGATCTGCACCGGAGTTGGTGGTTGGGATCAGGAGGGGTGGAGGGCAGGGAGGGTAGGGGTAGAAGGGTGACTGAAGGCACGGTCTAAGAGGAGAGTCTTGAAGGAGGCACGGGATGGGGTGAGACGGAGGGACTGTGGGATGGAGTTCCAGAGGGTGGGAACATAGGAATTGCTAGATGAAAGAAGACCAAAGTCCGTCTAGTCCACCTTCCACTATCCTGTTAGTTGCATGCTACAATAATGGAGATGTTGATAGCAATCAATTCTGTATGGATTAATCTACCAACACAGTTGAAAGGCTTTGGGAACCTTAGATCCAAAGTTGCCTAGTTCTTCCATTGTGAGCAATTCAGGTAAATGCGCTTCTCTGAAATTATGCCAGAAAAAAGTGAAACAGCAGGAGCTTTGATGAATGACAGATCTCATCCTTCAGCTCATTAGACCGCCATTTACTCTCTTTGATGTCTTGGAGTTCACATAAGGACTTCAGAACCCACCTGTTTAAATAACTGTATGAAAAGGTTAGAGATCCAAGTGATAAATGAAATATTCTGAACCTCCTGTTAAAGACAGAAACCTTTGCCACTCATTGTTTCATTCTATCAGGACTTTCCAGGATTTCCAGGATTGTAAACTGTGCCTCCATAATGCTGCTCACAGCTTGCTTCTCTTCAGCAGCCAGAGGTTGATTTATTGTGTTAAAGATTGAGACAATGAATGTGTAAATGGCATTGAAATTAATGGTTAATCCCCAAAATTGTAAAAAAAAAATCTCTGGAGGCAGGGAATCATTCCACTTAGCTCCTGTTAACCCTGCAAGCCAAAGCCCTAACAGGTAGGGTAGTCCTAGCTGGACAAGAGGCGGAAAACCTTGCCAGACAGCGATATCAATGGCAAGCTATTGCGGTTTTAGCTGGTTAGACTCCAGCAGTTACCCCAACGCACACTCTGGGGTCTCCAAGCCTTGGCTCTCGCCAATCTGGGCCTAATACGTTCCTCCAGGGAGAGAGAGAGAGTGCGCATTCCATTGAACAATCTATCTCTGGAATCTCCATGTGTAGATGGGATACAGGGAATTCTCAGCTTGGTTAGGAAACTCTTAAGCACAGGGATGGGTGACACCCGGCTGACACTCCAAAAAATTGTAAAAAGAATCATCTTAGCATTATATATGCACCATGCGCTGCACAGCTTATCTAAAATACAAACCATTGAGCAACTCTGGTACAAAAGCAGAGTACAGCCCATCCCCACCATTACTGTGGTTGGATCAATATCAAAACGGGAAAGTGCAGTTCTGGTCAAAATACTGATGTGAATTCCGTCCCCAAAATGTAAAGTGGTTTACCTGTGGAATAGACAGATGGAGGCGAGTGGGATTCTCCCTTGCACAGCTTCTCGTGCCATCTGTTCACGTCGCTCAATAGAATCTTGTTCCTAATAAAAAGACAGATAAAGTAAAGCCATGTTAGTCAGGTCACTACAACTCTGAGAAGAGTACCAGCATCTGAAATGGGCAACTAAATAAATCATGGTTCATAAATAACACAATTATATTGTCCCTTTCGAATTCTTCATCTGTAATCCCAATAATTCTTCCTCCAAAAGTTATAGCAAGTTATATCATTTACTATTTATGCAGAAGTGCAGAGATAGCTACGCACCAGAATTCCTAATTTATCAACACAAAATATCTTTCTTTTGAAACACAATCAGTCTGATACAATATATTTACAAGAGCGATTTGGATTCATCCTGTTCTAAAATACCCGTCCACCTGTCATTCTGTTACAGCATCAAACCGTTTGTTAACTGTCTGCAATTCAGGGGCTTAGCAGTCTCACACACGGGTGCAACTTCACCCATGGCACAACCAATTTTTTTTTTAACCCGCTGCCTCCGCTCGACTGGCTGCAGCCTTCTATTTGTCCCTGGCGCCCTCCGTCCCACCATCATTACCCGCGCTTTCAGCCACTACGCCCCGAAACTCTGGAACACTCTTCCTCCATCCCTCCGCCTTGCCCCCTCCTCCCCATCAGATCGCACCTGAAAACCTTCCTCTTGGATCGTCACCTCCCCCCTCCCACCTGTGTGAGGGGAATGATAAATGCAAGTTGTTGTTGTTATGAAATTCAGGTGCTTAGCAGGCTTGCATGGGTGCAACATCACCCAATGGCAAAACCAATTTTTGGAGCAACTATCTCAGCACTTCCACTTCGGATGTCCATGGGGGAAAAAGGGACATGCAGACGATTTGTGTGTGGATACTGTAGCGTGGAGGTCGCTAAATAAATGCAAGTTGTTGTTGTTGCTTCTTACCATTGATGTCTTTTCTGATGAAAGTCTAGCCTGTACTCTGGAGGAGTAGTTTCTGGTAGCGGAGTCACTGAAATCGACAGAGGATGATCCTGTTTTACTCTGGTTTAGTTGGTTGTCTGTGGAAACTTCTTTCTCATCGGGTGTTACTTTCAGACTTCCTACAAAAAAAGCAAAATTTTCTACTTTAATGAGCAAACCCACAATTATAATAAATAATAATAATCCTTGCATTTGATATAGTGCCTTATCACGTCATTGAAACTTCTCAAAGCGCTTCCCAGAATAAATTGTAAAGTGAACTGATTGTATATTTTGTGGGCGGATTTTGTGGGCCAATTGCGCACAGCAGTGTCCCACAGACAGTCGTGGATTTAGTGACCAAACTATTATTTTTGTGGGGGAGGGAAAATGATCCACCAATCGACTAACAACCAGGTTCCTACTTACTGCTACGTAAATGGAGACATGTAGAGTAAGGAAACTTGCTTAAGGTTTCACCTTGCCTGTAAATCGAACCCGGTCCTCTCATTCCCTCTCATTTGTGAGGCAAGTGCTCTACCGAATACGCTACAGGACTTTTACATAATTCTATAATGATGCCTTAAATCCAGCATCAGAAGGAAGCCACATGTTTAGTAACATATATCCTCAATTCACTTATGGCACATATGGCAATCCGCAGCAGTGCATTTCATTTCTGGATTTTTTATTAAACCAATTCAGCTATTTTTTAAGATTCTGCATTCTCATTCAAATACAAGAATCAAAAATTAGTGTTCGCCTGCAAGATTGAACACAACATTCCAGAAGCTCAACATTTCTCACAGTCTTACCCTGAAGACCAATGTCTTAAGATTGAAGAGTCTGCAAAATGTTGGAAAAATCTTCAATATTTGCAACACACAGTAAGCAGCTTCATTTGCAACCTGACAACCCAGAAGTCAGCCACTTTTTTTAATCACAGAAGCCAATAAATCCGGCTACTGGTTAGCATAGGTTCATAGCTATAAGCACTATAAGTCGGGCTTCACTATACAAAGTGGATGTTAGAATAAGGTTGCATTGTATACAGCAAAAATCTGGTTAGAATATGGGAGCCACTGAGAATATTCACCCACATAATACAGTCACACTCCTTTATAGCGTGTCCTATGAAATGCTTTGAGATGTCTCAATGATGTGATAAGGTGCTATATCAAATGCACAAATGATTAATAAAATCAAATACTTCATGGAATTTGGAATTCCTGCGATTAAGAGAATGCGAACTGGAGAAAGCAACCAGTCAGAGTTGAATAATGGAGATGTAAGTTTTGGTGGATGTTCTGAAATTTTGGAACCTTTATGAGGGAGAAATTTTACAGAACTGTCTCTTCTCTCAGGAGACTGTGACATCTGCAATGTGTGATGGGAAGAAGTACGAGATATGCATTGTAATGAAGGCTTTTAGTTATTTAATAACACATGAACGGTAGGAGCAACAACAACAAGTTACACTTATATAGCGCCTTTCACATCGGGAGGAGATCCCAAGTCACAAGACAGTCAAGGATTGGCACCTGAGCTGGGGGTTGGGATCAGGAGGGGAGGAGGACAGGGAATATTGGGGTAGAAGAGTGACTAAAGGTGCGGTCAAGGAGGAAGGCCTTGAGACGGGTCTTGAAGGAGGCAAAGGGTGGTGGGGGGAAGAGGCAAAGGGATTGTCGGATGGAGTTCCAAAGGGTGGGGGCAGAAAAGCACGATACAAGGATAGGTTTTTCGGTCTTACCAAGATATTCACAATCATGTGTATATTCAGCATTGTTACCAACAGCACTATAATAGTGGTTGACTGTACTGCTTTATATCATTAGAACAAACTTTCAATTTACTCTAGTGCAAAGATTAATCCTGCAGGGGTTCAAAACCTAAACTGCAGAAGCACAAGGTCAGTATTTCATCACTCCAAATAAGAGCGAGTTAACTCCAATCTGACATTCCTCACGCACTCACCACTAGTTTGCCTTTTGTCCCCTGCTGTGATTCTGTCGCTGTCACTGCTCGTTTGATCAGTAAGATTCAAGTACTCCCTGAGCAGCTGGTTCAGGTGTGCATATGCATCCATAAGATCATCTGTACACAAAGACAATGCAAGAAAGCAGTAACGTGAAAACACAATTGCATTAACCTGTTGAGCACCAAAATAAAATCAAAGAGAAGTTAATCGTCTCTTTCGGTCGGCTCCCAATCAGACTGTTAAACATACAGTCAATTCACTGTATAGTATATTCTGTGAAGCGCTTTGAGACGTCTCGAAGACGTGATAAGACACTATATCAAATGCAAAGATTATTATCATAATGTTCTCTGTTTTAGGCATTTCTCATACTTTGTCTTTAATATATTCAGTACACATATTTAGAAGAGAATACAATAATGATCTAAAGAAGCAGCAACCTAAGTTTAAAAAGAAAGGAACTGATCACTCCATGACTGTTTGTGGGACACTGCTATGCTGCTGCTGTGTTTTGGCCACAAAATACATGGTCAATCCGTTTCACAGTTTACAAGAATTATCATTATTTACAATATATGCTTTGAGATATCTCAATGACGTGATAAGGTGCTTTATCAAATGCAAGTATTATTATTATGTTAAGGGGGTGAGGCAACGTACTCAATGGGGCTTTTAGAAGCTGATTTGAAGTCACTGCTACATACAATTGCAAGTCTCTGCATGAGGAGCGCTATATATATGCAACTTGTTGTCTTAGGTAGCAAAACTTCCTTTGGTGTGAATGCCCTTACTGGTGTTAATTACTGAGTCAAAGTATCCGGGATGATCTTGATTCATTTTAATGTAGGTGTCAACTCTGGAAATGGCAACGTCAATTTCTGATTTATGGGTCATCCCTCTCAGCCACAGCCTTCTCTTGTACTCCTCCTTATCCAATGGAATCAGGAGAATGTACCGAGGCTCCAAGTAAGTCTTCTTCAAGCTACGAACACCCTACAGAAAGGCAGAAAAGAAATAGGCTGAATCTTCCGATCTCACTGTCTCCCAATTCTTAACCAGCACACATTGCAGCTGAGTCCCTCCCTCCATTCCATCTCGCCCACCCGCTCCCACCATAACCCGTAAATGTTATGTTATCTTTCTGGAAGGGAAGCACAAAAATATTGCTTTCACTCCGCCCGGGAATCGAACCCAGATCCTCTTGATTTCAAAGCGAGCACACTAACCACTACGCTACAGGACATTACTTCGAAACCTACAAAACGTTGAGCAAGTTTCCTTACTCCACACTCCTCTGTTTACCTAGCAGTAAGTAAGAACCCGGTTGTTAGTCGATTGGTGGATCGCTTTTCCAGAGGCAATAATCCCTTTTAAAAGAATAAATGAATAAATTGGTCGCTCAATCCATGACTGTTTGTGGGACACTGCTGTGCACAATTGGCTGCCACGTTTCGCCTACAAAATATACAGTCAATCCATTTTACAGTATATTCTGTGAAGTGCTTTGAGATGTCTCGAAGACGTGATAATGTGCTATATGAAATACAAGTATTATTATTACTACCTCCAATTCCATTTGAATGCAGCAGCCAAGCCCTTCTCTGGCTACAGCTTCCAGTGCATCTCTGCTCAGCCCATAGTAATGTCCATTGTACTTTATTGTCTCAATAAACTTCCCCTGCAGAAAAGGTTGATTTCCTTTGTTAGTTTCAATAAAGGCAGATACATTTTTCAATGGTTTATTACGGCGCATAAACGAACGATTGACCCATTAGCCTGCCCTCAATAATTGGAAAAATGGTGGAGTCAATCACCAGAATGAAAATGGAATATTACCAATGTAAAATAATCTAATAAATGACAGCTAGCACAGATTCAGAAGAGGCAGATCTTGTCTGACCACACTCATATGGGTGCCATCCCAAATTGACTGTGGGAAAGCAGATGACATATCTCATCTAGTCTTTCAAAAAGCCACATAAAAGAGTTCTTCACTTCTCTGGGTATCAAAGGGCAAGACACAGACAGGTTTCAAAATTGGCTGAAGGGAACGTAGCTGAGAGAAGTTGTTCAAAGAGCCAAGTCAAAATTGTGTGGTGTGTGTGTGTTGGATGGGGGGGAAAGGAAGGTAGTTAGCATGGTGCCTCAGTACTGTACTGGTATTCTGGAAGAACATAACCTAAGAATTGGTAGACAAAAGAAAACCAAGGTCCATCCAGTTCGTCTTCCACCATCCTGGCAGTCGCATGCGAAGGGAAGGGTCCCTTGCTTGAGATGAAGCGTTGTGCATGATCCACTTTTAGTTACTGGATGGAGTCTCCACTTGAACTTCTAAGAATGCGTAAAGAAATATTCAACTTAAATACAAATTGACCCCTGTGGTTTCTTTGGAGTCTCTCAGTAACATTGCGGCACAGGAGTTTTGGGGGAGGTTTCTTTTGCCTCCTTTTAAAACCTCACTTCTCCATTATTGTTTAAAGTCCATTCCTATTTACGGACATACCGATTAATCCCTGAAACTTTTCCAGGCGATCCTATCACTTGATGCAGCATCAATAAAAAATAGAAGTATCCATCAGCAACAACAACAAATTATATTTGTGTAGCGACCTTTCATGTCGGGAGGACGTCCCAAGGCGCAGGACAGTCAGTGATTTAGTCCCGAGCAGGGGGTTGGGATCGGGAGCAGAGGAGGACAGGGAGGGTAGGGGTAGAGGGTGGCTTAGTTAAACAGAGTCTTGCTGTCAGGACCCTACTTTCAAAATTATGCAATTACAAAGAATTAAGATCCCTTTGTTTCATATTTAGGAGGAATATTTTTAATTTAAATTCAGGGGAACTGGTTTGGTGAAATTCCTGAGCCTCGTCATGTGAGGCAGTTGAATTAACATCAGTAACTAATGACGTTTCTGTGATGGTATAATTTTAATTATTTACATGCTGATGGAGTTCATTTGCATTATCAGCCTCAATAACGCCTCCAAGTCGATTCTCTTCTCATAATGCCTTTGTTATTCACTGTTTAAACACTCAATATTCATAACATCAACAGTAAAAGGTAAAAAAGCACAAAGACACATTAATCACAATATCTTGCAAGTAATTAATTTTTAAAGAGTATTGATAATAAAATTATTTCTTTATTTTAATATAGGAAAACCAAGTCGAGAAATCGTGCAGAATGTTAGTGGTTGTTTATTTTCATGCTCAGGGCAAAATCTTCTTTTCAGGTATTTTCACCCATTCTTTTTAAAAACAATAATATCATAAAATAGTTTTTCTTTGCTCTTGCATTTGTTTGCACAACAGTGCAAATTCTCGGTTCTATATATTCATGTAAATTTGTCATTTTTTGCAGATCATCATACCAGAGCTGATGGATAAATTAAAACAAAACAACAGAGAAGGTTTGTATCCCTACATCTCTTACTGACCACCTGCAGCATTTGGATCTCAAAATCAACAAGCAATTTGAGAAAGAATTGAAAGCAGCTTGCAATGCCTGTTGAGTTGACAAGGTTCAAGCCACACGTCTGGTTGGAAAGCAGGCTGAACATGTCAAAAATTTGGCACAAAAGCCAGCAGAGTAAAACCACTGCATTCATTGTGAATGCTTAAGGCTTTCAACAATGTAAAATGTAATGTAGATTTAATAACTGATGCATTCAACGAAACTGGAATTGCCTGTATCTGCTATGAATTCAATTGTCCTAATGAAGAAGTTTTTACCTTATCTCCAATTAAAAATTGAACTAACATTGTGTGTGGCTCAATAAGGTTGCTTCCAATTGAGCTTGTTTTAACTTGATTCTGATTATATTTTTTGAATTGTGTTAGGATTATACTGAGGTTATTGTGCATGAACTGCCTGGTATGATTTGAGTTTGCATCATCCATTTTAATGAAGTTATAAATTGGTACCACAGAAAAGCCCTTGATTCCGTTTTGTTAATCTTTTCCCCAACTTGATGTAATTTCTACGCTCCATGTAATTTCGTGGTAAAAATTAATTTAGTGAAAATATTGTGGCCACGAAAAATACAATAGTAGATTTTTGTATCCATCAGATGGTGGGAAATAGAATACTTTCCCTTTTTAAGCACGTCAGCATCAAGCACAGTTGGTCAGATATAACAGACAATATTTTACTATGTTAAGACTTCAGATCAGCCACTACTACAAGTGTGTGTCTTTTTTTTTACAATTTCCACACAAGTCATGTTTGTGCCTCTCTAAATCCAATTACTAGTTAGTGCTCAAAGAGCAGCAATTGGAACTAGATTGAGGCTTACCAAACTAATTTCCCCTAAAACCCTTTGACAAGCAACGGACGGGCTGAAAATCCATCCCATCAATTGTCAGGAAAGTTAATCAAAAGGGAGGTTACATCCTGACGGCACTCAACTATAAGACAAAAGAAATGAGGAAAGACCTGAACTTGTTTACTTCGGTAAAAAAATATACTGAGGGTAGACAAGATCTAAAGTTTTGAAACGGTGGTAAGACAGTCATTCTGATTGCTATCCAGTGGCATTCACTGTCTGGGCTGAGATGACAAACAGCTACTTTTGGCGACGTACCAGAGAAATGTTCGTGCTCAAAGAACCTTGCCCCAGCAGGAGTCACCACCTTCCACAGTCAATCTCACGCCCCAGCACACACGTCGAGAGAAGGGCCAGCTATTTCAAAACAACTGCAAACCCTCACACTTACCTGTGAAAACGAGAAAGATAATATTCCTATGTCCTACAGTGCTTTAGAAGGATTTTTTCTGCAAAAGCAGCCGTGCTTTAATGAAATCCCACAGGCACAGCATAATGCATCCCAGCATTGCTTTTGTGCAAATTCTGCCAAAATGCTCCCAAAGGTATTTTCAGGTGTTTATAGGAAAAAAAATCTTGAATTCATTGTGTATCACTTGTGCGAGTCTAAAGTAGTGTATAATCGGTAGATACAAGAGAATTCTTACCTCATCAATCATGGCTTCAAATATCTCTTTGGATACAAAATAATAGTCACATCCTTCCTTTTCGCCAAGGTAAGGTTTTCGAGTGGTGTGACACGCACTGAAAAAACATAAAGTATATCACTTTATAAATTGTTTTCCTCATGAAGGACCTTGTCCCGATCCCCAGCCTCGGGTCCGAAAGTCTGACTGTCCACCACCTTGGGTCATCCGTGAAACGCGCTATACAAATGTAATTTTGTTGTTGTTGTTGAGGTTGATATGTCTCAGCCCAACCTCTGAAACTACATGAAAGCAGATGGAACTGAAAAGCAGAGGTAAAAATAAACATCACAAAAAAAAGGTGAAGAGTAAAATTCAGTTGGATTATTTTCTTAATAATAATCCTTGCTTCACAGAATATATGGTAAAGTGGATTGACTGCGTATTTTGTCAGCAAAATGTTGATCAGGAAGGATGTACTGTGGTGGCGGGGAAGAAACAGACAATTTTTTCTCTTTCAAGTGCTTCAAATCAAGTATAACTGGTCAAATGCAAAGTAAAATTCCCCCTCCTCTAACCCACTATTAGATCTTAATTGTACTGTAAGAAGAACACTCCTCTGGACCAGTGTGACATTTCCACCCAGTCTTCCGGTCAGCACTCAAAAGTGATCTTGCCAACTTGATTTGATGCTACTTAGTGCTGAACTGTGGACAGCTTTCTCTTATTTTACCTTAATCAAACTGGGTTAAGATGGCCATCTTCAGTGAACATAAGGCCCTCATTCCTTCCAAAGAGAGAAAGCGGAATTTTCCGTTTCATTAACATGAGCTAGATTTGAATGCAGGTCCTAAGGATCAAAGAGTAGCACTTGCCCATTCTCCACCCCCCAACTGTAGAATCATAGAAGGTTACACCACAGAAGAAGACCATTTGGCCCATCTTGCCTGTGCTGGTTCTTTGAAAGAGCTATCCAATTTGTCCCGCTCTCCCCTTAACCTTGCAAATTTTTCCATTTCATGTTAATATCCAATTCTCTTTTGAAAGTTATTGTTGAATCTGCTTCCACCACCTTTTCAGGCAGTGCATTCCAGATCATAAAAACTTGCTGCGTAAAAAAAAATTCTCCTCCATTCCCTGTGCAATCAAACGGAAACAGATGACCTCATATAAATTGGTCCTTTGGTTAAACCAACATGAAATAAGCTATTTGTTTCAGATGTTCACAGATGCTGTGTCGCCAACGATGCACAACACCCACTGCCTCTCATGTAAGCTGGAAGCAAGATGTGGTTTCACAAAATATGGTTTACATTTACAACATGTATATAAAAAATACACCTGGTGTGCACAGAAATGAGAAAACATTATATGCACATGAGGCTTTCAAAACTTTAGCATCAAAGTCATTTTCTTCACAAAAAATCCTTATTAACATATTTACACTTTAAGTGTCTGTTTTTAACAAAAAGTGGAAAAACCATAATATAGCAACATGAGAACTGACATTTTATTTGTGAAGAAATCATCTCAAAAAAACTTTGGTAAACGTCATGTTTTTCAATAACCCTTGCAACCTTGGAAGGACAAAACAAATCATTACTTTTATTCAGACTTTAATTTCTGCACATCATCATTTTAGGTAAAGGATTATGACATTTTATAATTGGGGACTATGCATCAAACAAACTCCTGGAAGGTGGCAGATACGAATGGTATGATTCAGAGTTGAACTCAGTAAACATCCAGCAAAATCTAAAGCTTCTGTATAAGGCTCTGAATGAGTTCACAACGCGGGCATCTCTATGAAATACCAGTCCAATTAAAAAGGAAGAGACCAGAAGAGAAGAATGAATAAAGAGTGCAGACATACGTGATTTAATTGAGAATTTGTCAACCAGCAATAGATTGAAGGGAATTTGCGAAACCTTAGCTAATATATTCAATGAATAGTGTACTTGCTGCCCTTAAGCAACCACACTCAATGAATGGATGTACTGTATGCCTAACTCATATCAATGAACTAAAGGGATATGTCCTACGCTAAATCAACAGTTCAGTCCTGTCAATGTAATTGATCCACGTTGCATATGACCAGATTTATTTCAAAGGTCTGCATTTACCAGTTGTGAATAAGGAGGCCAACAAAACTGTATTATAATGGTAAATGGTAATGGTATCTGAAAAGTCAACTAAAAATAGGATAATGAATAAATAAATGGCAAGGCACAAATGCAATCAATTGGTTCATTTATGTGATATCAGAAACTAGAACAGCAATGCTTATTTGAAGAGTTATATAGTGCCTTTCATGTCAGCAGGACTTCTCAAAAGTGCTTAACCATGCTGGATGGGCACCTGAGCTGGAGAAAGGGAAAGACTGAAAGTGCAGTCAAAGAGGTACATCTTGAGATGTGCCTTGAACGAGGGGAGGGAGTTTTGAGACATTTCAAAATGATAGGCGTAACAAAAATGCAGGTTCTTCTATGATCACCCCCGCAATCATCATCCAGGGCCCTTTCTTCCTTTCTACTCACTGGTTGATGATTCATTAACTTGCTTCAGATTGCCTGCCCACTGGGCATTGAAATTTCAATGCAAATTTCAGTAGGTGAATCCTAAACCTTCATCCCCTTTGATGGAGCAACAACAACAACTTGCACTTATATAGCGCCCTTGATGCAGGGTAGCGTCTCAAAGTGCTTAACAGTGGCCGAGCTGGAGCAATGCAAACCATGCTTCATTCAATTAAGAATTTATTTGCTTCGTCTCTTTTGTAATTCTATCCAGAAGTTACCAACTCAGTTACCAACTTCACTCTTAATCCTTCTTTATTAAGAGTCTAGTCCTCACAAGGAATCTTTGTGATTATTTTTATTATTATTATCCATATACCTCTTCCGTTACAACAGTTTCCAAGAAGCTAAATTTCCTCCACTGTGCAAAACCTATTTTATCCATAAAAACTCATCATTCTCTATTAAGCTCAAAATCATTGAAGATTGGAATAACAATGGGAAATGTATTATTTTCACGTGCCTCTCTTGCACTCCTGGACAGAATCCCCCAAAATCAAATCATAGCTAGGTCCCATACACTAACTCAGGACTTTAAGCTTGTGAAAGTCTCCTACTCCCTCAGTCTTGTCTTCCTAATACAATCTATGGGTGTTTCATATGTATACAGACATTCCCTTTAAGACTCTGCAATGTTCCCATGGAATCTGAGTCTTTCAGATCTGTTTTATTGAGACACTAATTTTAATAGCTCCAGGGAGGTGAGGTAGTATTTGTGAGCTCGCTTTGATCATTAAAGCTGCTGCTAATTTTATAAGTTCAACTGGTAAAAAGTATGTGGAGCACAAAGCTAATCTTTGACTTCTTTTTTAAACACAGCAGTGGTTTTAGAACATAAACTCTGCCAGTGCTTAGATTAACCCCTCTGCCTGTTCCAAGAGCTTCTCACATGTTAAATATATTAACAACAATAATAATAATGCTTGCATTTTACATATCACCGTATCACATCGTTGAGACACCTCAAAGCGCTTCACAGAATATATTAGTTATCATAAAATGATAAATATAATAATCCTTACATTTGATAGAACATCTTTCATGTCAGTAGGACATCTCAAAGCACTTCATACGATATACTACAAAGCGGATCACTGTGTATTTTGTAGGTGAATTACATAATATATAATATTCACATTTATTGCACGTGAAGTGAAACTACCATCTCATATTCAGAATTCACACCATCTTAGCTTTAGTATCCCAAATTATAGCAGGAATTTGGGAAACCAATTTTACATCAATATTACAATCCAAAACAATCTTTAATTATCAACTCACTTGGATGTGACTGTGACTACCTTCCCCATTAATTTCACCACAATGCTTTGGTTTGGTTGAAACAGAAGCCTTTGAACCACCCTTTGAAAGCAACATTTCAATGATCCCATTCACAAGTTTGGATTGAACAAAGCAGGCCCTTTGGCCCATCCAATCTCATCCTTCCTGAAAACCCACTGTCCTGTCCCTCCATCACAACATCAAGCTGCTTTTTAAACAAGCCCAGAGACCTAGCCTCTAACACCTTTCCTGGCAATCTGCTCCAGAAATTGATTACCCTCTGACTACACAAAAACTTCATGGTACCATTACCAACACACTATTAATAGTTTACGGTTGTGTGCTTCTAGTTCTGCCATCAAATTTCACATTAATCTTTAGTATTCAAATACACTATGTGAATACACTATTGTAACTACTACAAACTACATACAAACTTTAACTTCAGGATGAAATACAGAAAAGGTGTTATTTCGTTGGCAGCCAGGTTTCTGACATATTCAAAAACCCATCACATGCTTAAGAGCATCTAAACCAGATTTCAGATGCTCTTAAGCTTGTGAACTTAAGAGTTCCACATATGTATGCCGCACACACATGGAAATTACCTGTGTCTGGAAATGGAATGTAAACTCTCTTCCTGAAGGAATACTTATCTAATTCTAATGCTTATCTAATTCCAGAGACTATTAGTCACAGGTTGGCGAGAGGCAAGGCGAGGGGACTCCAGAGTACTGCCGACATTCAACCAGCTAAAGCCACATAGTTTGCCATTGAGAGCCCTATCTAGCAAGCTTTCCGCTGCTTGTCACTCTACCCCTTAGGGCTTTGGCTTGCAGTTCATGATGATCATGTTACTGACGAGCATCATTCTTTCACTTTGTGATTTGGTACTTGAATGTGCTACAGTACATGAAAACGCCAATTTTTTTTTCAGCTTTTGACAGTTTTCCTCCCCTTTCCCTTGAAGAACAATTGGCTCCTAGAATGTTATCCCACACCCTGCCATTGGAAAATAATGAGGGAGCAGAAAAGCTTTGAACGATTCCTTTCTAGTGGGTTGACGGAAGGCAATCGGCATCCTCAAAGCTGTAAAGTAAATGGTTTTGCAGCTGTTGAGGCAATAATAAGTAGTGATTCATTACTTTCTGTTACATAGCACCTCTTCATACATTTTCTTTTGAAAGGGCAAGGGGGAATCTTATGTAGTGAAGAAGCGATCTCCTCAAAGCCTTTCGAGGTAGCATTGCCGAATGTATGAATATAAATGTTGTGTGAAGCTGGGTAGTGTTTTCCTCTGGCAGCTGGGAAAGTCAAGTGGCCTGAGTTCAGTGGACTGGGACGTCCTCCCGACGTGAAAGGCACTTTACAAATGTAATTAGTTGTTGTAGCTAAAAAAAATGAAAATCGCAGATTGCAACTTTCAAACAAGTGCACGGATACAAATAACATATTGCAACAGGTTTAGGCAGCAACAGACCTTCAGCTACTCCAGCTTTAATTTTAATTTTGCTGTAGTTCTAAAGTTGTAAACCGGATTGTAAGGTAGGAGCACAGTAAAGATGGTTGTTCTTAATTTCATTTCCTGGGCAGGAAGTAACCTCAAGGCAGGCATCTTGACCATGTGCCTCCTTACAACATGATCCCTTGGTGTCTCTTCGTATCTGTGGATGTGCACTACACAAGGCAGGGCGAAACCTTGGGCAAGTTTCCTTACTCCATGATTATTATTCTTATTCTTATCCATTCAACATCCAAAAATATTTGTGTGTCTTATCCGTATCGCCAACAACAACAAATTACATTTATATGCAATTTATATTTCAAGTCGGGAGGACATCCCATGGCTCTGGACAGTAGTTTTTTGCACCCTTGCTGAGGGTTGGATTCAAGAGGGGTGGGGACCAAGGGGGTGGGGGTGGGAGGATGAAAAATGGGTCAAATCTGCTTTGGAGCATATTATAATCAGGTGGATATGGTTAAAGTGCTACTGTGTTCAGTGACTTTAAAGTCCTCATTAGGACTGGCTTGAATTTCTGAAAGCTCTGATTAGAGCTGGGCCCCATTATCAGTCTTATGGAGCTGATTCCTTTGATGGAAATATGCAACAGGTTATGTCATTAGCTCTGTGCATGTTTGTAATTTGGAATAAAAACAAGAGAATCAATAAATGTGCATAAATCAGAGTTGGAAAAAAGAATTTGACCGTAAAAGAAAATGACTTATTACTAATATGGATTGGCTACATTGTGGATTTGAAAGTGGTGAAAGCAGTCCCGTCACACAAAATACAACAACAACTTGCATTTGTATACTGCCCTTCCTGAGGTACGGTGTCTCAGAGCGCCTAGCAGTGCCGGTGCCTGATACTGAGCTGGTGAGAGAGGTGAGGCGACTGCAGGCATAGTCAAAGATGTGGTTTGAAGACAGGCAAAGAGGAGGCAAGGTGGAGGAAATGAGGCTGAGTTCCAGAGTTTCTCGGTAGAGTGGCTGAAAGCACGGCCGTTGTTGGTGCAACAGAGTGGACGAAAGAAGTGTAGAAGGCCGGAGCCAGCTGAGCGAAGGGAGTTGGGGGTAGAGTCAGGCATTAATATTTCATTAGTAATCCTATAATAATAATCCTTACATTTGGTAGAGTGCCTTTCACTAAGGACGCCCCATCTAAAGCTGGACTTCCCGACCTGCAAACTGAAGCGCCAGTTTAGACTTACCAGTATCCAAAGAAATTGGAAAACTCTTGGCAAAGCATATGAGCAAGTTCTCTTTTCCCACTGGCCTGAGGCCCTGTCAGAACCAACACTGGATATGGCATGTCAAGGCTAAGCAAGGTGCTGTGGAAACACAAACAAGTAGCAGATTGTCAAGAAAAATAATTAGCATTTTTATGCTGCCTTAGCACATGTTACAATGCCTCAAAGCACTTCACAGTAATTAATGTCAAATGCAGTGTGTTTATGTTTATTTTATTGCACAATCCCACATAAAGCCATGTTCACTCTGAGACGTTCTTCTGAGAATGGGGCTAAGACACCATTGTGGCAGGTAAGTAGATTTTAATTACAATTCCTGATGTCGGAATGTTCTATATTGCACTGGGTGAAGAAAGTTTAAAGTGAAAACTTGGAATAAATTTTTAATAATAATAATCCTCGTATTTGATACAACATATTTCACGTGGGGAGGACGTCTCAAAGCGTTTCACAGGATAGACTGGCAAGTGTAGTGTCTGTGTATATCCTTCAAAAAGTCAGGAAGTGAGTAGCCAATTTTATTTGGGGGAATGTTATCCAGGACCCCAAGAGAACCTAGATGGTAATAACAATTATATTGTTATTACATTTATTTTCTGTATACTTGATGCAAATTTAAACAGATGCCAATCCAAATTCCACTTAATGGTGATGTATGACTACCCAAAAGTATTTTTATAAATACACATTCAGAGAAAACAGTATAAAACAAATCTAATATCAATATCCAAGTGATCTTACCAGTCCTTTAATGTTGTGATAACCACTCAAAAGCATGGAATATTGCCTCAACAATAATCGAATTCTGTTTCGCAATATTCAGTAATAATAAATTTGGAAAATAAGTAATTTGGGTTGTTATATGAAGAGGAAATAGCAAGCATTCCTGAAATTTCTGAAGATCTTTCATTAAGTTTATTTATTTATTATTATTAGTATAAGTACTGTAGTGGCATAAAGGTTAGAATCAGACCCCTTGTACAGTTATTATATCTGCCTTAAGTTGGAGTCCTGTAGCTTAGTGGTTAGAACATTCACCTCGCAAGCAAAAGGACCTGTGTTTGATTCCCGGGTAGGGCGAAACGTTGAGCAAGTTTCCTTACTGTTTGTGGGAAACTGCTGTGTGCAATTGGCTGCTGCGTTTCACCCACAAAATACACAATCGTTGCACTTTACAGTATATCCTATGAAACGCTTTGAGACGTCTCGAAGACGTGATGAGGTGCTATATCAAATGCAATAATTATAATTATTATTATTATCGATAAGTAAGATAGACGCTTATAGTTCCAGTACATCCTTCAGTCTAAATACCTGTCAGAAATCCTCTGGGGTTGCAGAAAATAATTCATCACATGGGTCATGTGATCTCTTGCCGCTACCACTTCCGGGGGTGGGTTATATTTGTTGACTGCAGCAACCTAAAGGAAAGGAAAGTTTATGTGAATATATATTTTGTAAATCCTTCTCGCAATGTCATCAAAAGTGTCAGCAATACTTTCCTCTTTCAAACAACTAGCATAATGGGTCAAAAGGCCTTCTTCTTTGCTCTAGATTTCTATAGTTAATAATGATCATTGCATTTGACATAGCACCGTTCACATCAGGAGGAAGTTTCAAAGCACTTCACAGGATACAAGTACAATGACTGTGTATTCTGTAGGTGCACTCGACAGCCAATTTGCAATGAATGTCCCACAAACAGCCGTGAAGTGAATGACCAATTTTATTTGGGGGATTGCTGGCCAAGACACTGGGAGAAACTCCCTTCTTTTCAAATGGTGCCATGGGATTGTTAAAGTCCACCAGAACAGGCAGACAGAAATTAGGTTCAATGTCTCATCTGAAGGACGGCACATCCAATATTGCATTGGAGTGTCAACCTACACAATATGAGTTCCAAGTCCCAACGTGGGGCTTGAACCCACATCTTTCTGACTTCTAGGCCATATTGCTGCCACTGACACCTGTTCTTTGGTACTATTTACCAGTCTTAAAAATTAAGTTTGGGTAACATTTTAAAATTTCAGTCAGAATATGGATGAAATTGACCTCCAAAATTTAAAGGTGAACTGGATAGAGCTGCAGCTTTCAGACCACAAACTCATTGGTTCACATGCTAGTCCGTGCTGAGTCTGTTGGCCTCAGCCAGGATTGCATATGGCTAAATTAACCCTGGTGTTCCCAGGGTTAGGGAGGGGAAAACACAGCCAGGATTCCTCCTCCTGGAACCTGTATTGGTTGTGTGTATGTATTAGCTGAGTGGGGATAGGTCAGGCTTGCTGTTTCTTCAGTTGAGTGAGCTACTGACACTCACTGTCTTGGCTCACACATGGCCACTTTGGCGGGTTCTCTGGATGGCAAGCAGTGCTTGGACCCAGACCCTAGCCAAGAGAGGCCAGACCAGCTACAGGGAGGCATGTGGCCTTGGGGAGAAAAATAATTGGACTTTTTCAAAAATTTATAATTTAAGGAATTCCCAAAATTCTGCACAAACATTTCAACCACACAATATACAGTCAATTCACTTTACACTATATTATGCAAAGCGCTTTGCGATGTCTCAACAACATGATAAGGCGCTTATCAAATGTAATTTTGTATAGTACTGTATATCAAATGCAAGGATTATTATTATTGATATTCAATTTGAAAGCAATGGTTTAAGGGCTAAAACTATGAGAAACGTTAGTTCTTATGTCAGCCTTGCTCATTTGGTAGCACGCTTCGGACAGAAGGTTGTGGGTTTAAGTGCCATGTCGGTACTTGGAACTCATGTAGTCTGACACTCCAATACAATGTTGGAAGTACCGATCTTTCTCTTCGAAAATCGAAGATGCGCAGAAGGCCCAAGCTGGCTGAGTGAAGGGGGCGGTATGAGCAGGGTGGAGAGTTAAGGAGGTTCTAGGACATGAAGTGATTTGTAGGTAAGTGTGAGATCTGTTCTGTGACAGAGAGCCATTAGAGTCTGTCAAGAGCTGGCCCTTTGGAGTGCAGAGTTTGGTAAGAAAAAGGAAAAGGCTGGCGGAATTTGGAATCAACTGGACTTTGTGAATGGTGGAGCGGGAGGTGATGAAAGTGTGGATGAGCATTTCAGCAGCGTTGAGTATGAGATATGTGTTAGAATTTACACTTTTTGTACAATGTTAGAATCATAATAGATGTTGCGAACGGGTTAACTTTTAAGTTAAGTGTGGGGGGGCAACTGGACTGAAACTCATGAGTTTACACCCAGGATCACGTGAGTGTCTCAAGGACAAGATGTGTACTACTGCCCTGCAAGTACACAAGATAACGGACTGTCTCAAGGACAGTGTGTTTGTGTGTGTGAGGCACGTACACCCCATGAGATGTTTACGTGAACCCAGCATGATTTTGGCCAGGTGACCTAATGTCCGCACCATGTTTGGATGGACACAAGCTTAAGACACCGTGCCAGACCAAGATCGGCGCCCAGGACAGTACCTATCGTGGATGGAAGACTGAGAGCTAGAAGGCAGAAGTAGACGACCACGAGGAGGGATTACACGGTAGTATTGTTCTGTTAATGAATTGATTGATTGTGCCTACTTGCCCATCGGGAACTTGGACGGATCCTGGAGTTTAATAAACACCATGCTGGTTGCAAACAGTGGCTGTGTTTGATTGGAACTCGAAAAGTTTTTTTCCTTGACATATGGTCAAGGCAGGCAATGCGGCAGAGGTGGAGGAAAAACAGTTCTGGTCAGGGAACCAATGTGGGGATTGAAGCAGATGCACAAGTTCACTGAGTCTGAAAATAGGCCTGGCAGGTTAAGGAGGCCAGAGCCTCAGGAGAGAAGAGGTTGATGGGAGACAACGGAGATAGCTTCCATCTTGTCCATGTTTAGCTGCAGAAAGTTATCATACCCTAACCCCTACCTTCTTTTAACACATTGCCTGAAGTCTTCCCAGTAAAACTATCTTGCTCAGAATATCACTGAACTAGACAGTTTTACTGAAACTCAGTCAAAAGTTAATGACAACTTGAGACAATAAGCCAAAATTTGAAAGGAAAATTATACACCCAGCACTCCACACTGGAATAATGAAGAATCTCAACTAGTCATGTAAGCCACTCGTGGCATTCAATGTTCTGTCTATATACACACACACATAAATTGCATAAAGAAACACATGCTTTATCCTAAAATTCTGATGATCTCCAAATCATGGGCTAAAGATATTCGGACCCAATTAATGATGCCCTTAAGAGATGATTAAATATATGATGGAGAGTCCATCAATCATATCAACAGTAATGGAGAACTCTCTGCTACTCTTTTAGCCCTGTGGTGAAAGCACCAGAAGCACAGTAAGACAGTTTCAACCTGTAGCCGAAGCTGTGATCAGATAAGAATAATGGATTCTGTCTGGGAAATGAGAACAGCAGATTGAAAGAATGCTATTAATAATCCTTGCATCTGAATCAGTGCTATATCACGTCAAAATGTTTTACAGTAATTACTATTAAATGTAGTGACTATGTAACGGTTGGCAAATATGGCAAGCTATTTGGACACAACATTATCCCATAAAAAGCCAGAAGGTGAATAAACCTATTTAACTGGAGAATTGTTAGCCAGAACACCAGCAGAAACTCCCCTTTCTTTTTAACATCCCATCCGAATCCAAAGACAGCATCTCCACCAACCCAGTTCATCACTTCCCCGAACTGCACTAGATTACCATCCTCGACAATGATTTCAAAATCTCCGACCCAAGACTTGAACCCACAAACTTCTGATCCAAGGGCAATAGTGCTACCAAATGGGCCAGATTGATATCTATTACCACATAAGAAAGAACCCATCATTAAAATGCAAAGCAGTCATAGTAATTAAACGTATTCAGTTTACCTTATCAGTGATCTTCACTTTTTTGTGATCCAGTTCAGTGAGTTTTGGTGCCTTGAAAAGGGCAGTTAGCCAATAATCTGGATTGTCCTAAACAAGGAAAAATATGAGAAAGAATTGGCTTAGCTCTGAGAGGCCCACAGACATGCTTTAAACTAGTTATTATATTGGCCTTAGATATTTTATGCAACTGCCAGAATAATAAGAATCTTTGCATTCAGTTCCTTCAGTTTATCGCCTTATCTGAAAGACAATGCGGCGCTTCCCAATACCGCACAGGAATGTCAACTTAAGAGCATGAGCTCAACGTCTCCCAACACGAGATTTCAACGCACAACCTACTGACTCAAGAGGTGAGATACACAAAAGAAGAATAAAGATAATATGTGAACAAATAGAAGGAAAAAAGGAAATGCTCTCCATTCCTATACTATCCTAAGTGACCAGAATATCAGCCATCATTCTCTATCCTCTGGAAATCTTTCCCAAAACTACATGACCTTATTTACCTCTTTTTCATTCTTGAAAACACCCCTATGACTCTTCAACCGTACCTTTTGTTAAAAATCTTTAAATCTTTATTTTGATGCTTATTGTATTTATTTTCGTCAAGTGCTTTGAGATAGATGTTCTCCTCCACAAAGGGCACTGTACACTCTGACTTCACTTCCGCATCGGACATTAGAACACATGACAATACTCTGCATGTGGCTAAGTGGTATCCTTCTGATACATTTACCAAAAGCAAACTATTTTTGGTAAATTTCTTATGCCTGGCCCATACCTGAATTGGGTTGTTAAGCAGGTTCAGGAATTCCAGATATGGGAGTTTTTCTATGTGATGCAGTTCATTCAATTCGCTGATCTGTAGTTAATAGAAAACAATACAGTGACAATATAAAGAGCAATGCTTTACAAAAAAAAATTACAATTGTATAGCGCCTATCATGTTCGGAGGACGTCCCAAGGCGCTAGGCAGTCAGTGTTTTGGACTCGAGCTGGAGGTCAGGATCAGGGAGAGTGTTGGGCAGGGGGGGAAGCAGGGTGTTCGAAAGCACGGTCGAAGAGGAGGGTCTCTGAATGGGTCTTGAAGGATGCAAGGGAGGGGCGAGGTGGAGGGACTGCGGGATGGAGTTCCAAAGGGAGGGGGCAGAGTGGCAGAAGTCCTGCCCGCCATTGGCGGGGCGGACGAAGTGGGGGACGTGAAGCAGGCCGGAGCCCGATGAGCGGCGGGAGCGGGCAGGATGGTAGGGGATTAGAAGGTCGCAGAGGTAGGGGGAGCGAGGCAATGGAGGGCTTTGAACTGCATCCTCTGTGTGATGGGAAGCCAGTGGAGTCAGAAGAGGATGGGGGTGATAGGGTCATAGAGCCTGGTGTGGGAGAGGACACGGGCTGCAGAGTTCTGGATGATCTGCAGTCTATGGAGGGAGGAGTTGGGGAAGCCGACAAGCAAGGAGTTTGCATGGTCAAGCCTCGATGTTAAGAATGCGTGTATGAGGGTTTCAGTGGCCTCTAAAGACTTTATGTGCAGTGTGTGCCCACAGTAACTAGTCAACATTTATTCACCAATTGCAAATTCATCTGAATTCTGTGCCCTTTCATATCAGCTGAAGGGAACCTTATATTTTTAGATGTTGGAGGATGGGAAAGGGGAAGACTAAAATGATAAGAAGTTAGTCCTTACAGCAATAATCTGTCCTACAATCTTGCATCACAGGTACTTTTTAAAACAAAATTTGATCAGCCAGGTGTCTGACTCATGCGGAAATCCATCACCATGCCACAAACCAAGCTGAGATTTCCATGCATCCCACATGGATCCCAGAAATAGGCTGTTGCAATGGAATGCGCATTCTCTCCCTGGAGGGCGCATCCTGCTTACCTAATTCCGGAAAATATTAGGCTCAGGTTAGCAAGAACCAAGCTTAGGGTCCCAGAGTGTGCGATGGGGTATAGCTAAAACCGCATAGCTTGCCATTGATATTGCTTTCTGGCAAGCTTTCCCACTGCTTTTCCAGTTAGGACTACCCTACCCATTAGGGCTTTGGCTTGCAGGGTTAACTGGAGCTGTGTGGGATGACACCCTGTCCCCAGTGACTGGTCTGCCCTTCCAGGTCCTACCAATGAGCCAGGCTGGCTGTGCTGTCACCAGCAGTGCCCTGGAAAGACAGGTTATAGAGGAGGACACTGGCTGAGAAATGGAGCAAATAACATCAGTGCAATCCCACTAAATTTTCATATCACCAAAGAGTGGCACATTGCTAGTCTGCACACACTTTGTTACCTGATTGTCCTCCAGATTGATCACTTGCAATAAGTCATGGTCCTCCAGGCCCCCCATGCATTTTATTTCATTTTTTGACAAATCAATCTGCTGCAGGGATTCCAGTTTCATCAGCTCACGTATGTCTGTGAGATGGTTATCCCGCTGTAAAGAGATTAGAACTATATGAGAAGGGGATGTCAGGCACTTGAGGTCATTTCTAAAAATGACCGTTATCTCCTGATAATGACCAAATTTAGAAGTTCCGAGACACTGCCCTGCATGAAGGGGACTGTAATAATGCAATCAGGAGATGAGGGCCATTTTGTTGTTGTTGTTGTTGATTTCGGTCAAGAATCTCTGTATTTCTCAGTGCCCTCAATCACTCCGCCTCGCCCCTTAGCCTCCTTCAAGTCCCGCCTCAAAACCCTCCTCTTTGACCATGCCATCGGTCACTGCCCCCTTCCCCTCCTCGCCCTTCTCCCTCCCTGACCCCAGCTCGGGTCTGAAATGCTGTACACTGTCCAGCACCTTGGGACGTCCTTCCGATGCGAAATGAGCTATAGAAATGGAATCTTGTTGTTGTTGTTGCTGTACTCAGCAAGGTTTCTTTTTGTGAAACCTTTTGGGGGAATAACAAGAAATTAAATTCAGGGGAATTGTTAAATCGACTGCATTAAGAGTTAAGGAATGGCATCACGGCGTGCTGATGCTTCAACGCATCGTGCCTACAAACCGGCAGCAATACAGATTTGTCTCTCAGGTTCCCAAAAAGCCAGGTCCCACAATTTGTTTTGTCAGAGAAAGGTATCAAACAGAGGTCAGTCATTTTCACCCAGGGCGGAAAAATCAGAAGCCAATTCACGCGTACATACGTTTTTTTTTTACAAAATCAATTTACAGTGATGCAACCAAACACAATTTTTCTGCCCTCATTTCACTCAGCTATCAGCCTGCATTGCACCAAGCCAGCCGTTACAGAGTGAGTGAAGGCTGCGACATCACCTTGGATGCAAAGAGGATATTTTAACCTGAGCCGTAACTCATTTGGTAGAGGTCTGTAAGCAGGCCTCTCTCAGGAACAGAGACAGTAGTAAAAAAAAAGTAGTAAAAAAATCAATTACAACAACAACAAGATTCCATTTATAGAGCGCCTTTCACGTCGGGAGGACGTCCCAAGGCGCTGTACAGTTGGGTCAGGACCCGAGCAGGGGGGAAATGGTCAGGGTGAGGGGAGGGAAGGAGCGAGGAGGGGGTAGAGAGTCGAGAGGGGAGCTGAAGGCACGGTCAACGAGAAAGGTCTTGAGACCGGCCTTGATGTTAGATGTATATTCATTTGCCAATCTTCTTGCTGTGGAGTCTCCTGTATATCTATTGAATGAGCGTGGATGAAATCATTGAATGACGCAGAGCAAGGGGATTCCTTTGTAACATGTCTGATAAAATAAAGTACGTCAATACGTGATTCCCACTAAAAACTTTCTTTGGAGCATCAGAAACGTTATGAGCCACTAGCAATGTCCAAGACTTGCATCTGTGGCAGGGGAGTTGTGAAACACATGACAAAGACAACAACTTGCATTTATATGGCACCCCTAATGCAGGGTAGCGTCCCACAGCGCTTGACAGTGGCGGAGCACGACGCCGAGGCTGGGAAGGTGACCGTAGGCAGAATCGAAGAGGAAGGTCTTCAGGTGCGATCTGAAGGTGGGGAAGGAAGGGGGCAAGCTGGAGGGATAGAGGAAGCGTGCTCCAGAGTTTTGGGGCACAGCAAAAGAAGAACAAATCAAAACTTTATTAACCTACCAGAGAAAGAAATGTAATTGGCAGATTTTCCAGGCCAGTAATTTCATAAATGTCGTTATGTGCCAGGCTTAGGTATATGAGGCCATTGCAGTTCTCCAAGCCTTTGATTTCAGAGATTTGATTATCTGTGAACCGGATCAGATATAAGGAAAATATGCTTCAAATATCTGGTCCAATAACTATAGCAAAAATAATAATCCTTTCATTTGCAAGGCGAATGCGCTAACCACTATGCTACAGGACACCACAATAGTTATTGATCCAATTAGTTATCAGTCCTGCTAATGCAAATACTTTTATTCGATTACTCAACATTATAATTGAGGGAAAGTATTGCCTCCTATAGGGAATGCGATTTGGTGATTTGCATTTCTGCAATTTGGAGTCAGATAGTGTTACAGTTTTAGCCTCAAGGCCATTGCCTTAAAATATAAATTTCCACAAAACAACAAGATTACATTTGTGAAGCATTTTTCACGTCAGGAGGACGTCTCAAGACACTGAATAGTCAGGGGTCAGGACACGAGTTTGGGGGCAGGATTGGGATGAAGGAGGGGAGAGCGGGTAGGAGGGAGGCTGAAGGCACTGTAAAAAAGGAAGGTCTTGAGTCGTGCCTTGAAGGAGGCAAGAGAGGGAGCGAGGCAAAGGAATTGTGGGATGGAGTTCCAAAGAGTGGGGGCAGAGAGGCTAAAAGTCCGGCTGGTGATGGGTCGAGCGGGAGACCTGGAGCAGGCCGGAGCCTGCTGAACGGAGGGAGCGGACAGGTTGATAGGGGGTCAAACAGGTCAGAGATGTAAGAGGGAGCAAGGCCATGGAGGGCCTTGTAAGTGAGGACGAGGATTTTGAATTCTATCCTCTGGGGGATGGGGAGCCAGTGGAGCCGGGCGAGGATGGGGGGGTGATGCGGTCACGGAAAGTTTTGGAAGAAATCGTGGTGGACTCAACCCGTAAGGGGAAGCCAGGAAAACGTTGGTGTCCTGGTTGTGAGTTAAGTACTCCAGAATTACAATCACTGTGACATTCCGTCATCTGCAGCTGTAATAAATGGTGTAAAGTGGAAGCAAGATGACAAAGTGCCAGCCGTTTCCAAGGTTTAAAGCATGACCATTATTCAGCTGACTCAGGGTAAAAATGTCTACCTAATTCATGGATAATTCTGATCCAATATGCTAAACTACTTCCCACTCATTCCCAATATATAAAATCTGTGATCCACTTAAAATCTATAATCCTGATCTAAGCACAAAATCTGCCCAATTATCTCTATCTTCATTGCTCAGCAACGCGCTGAATATTTTCAACCTAATAAATACATGTCAATCATAGTGTGCTGGCTAACAACTTCTTGTAAAGCATATTTTATGTACATCATTTGTCACTTTAATTCCGTTGTGGCATGAAAGATAAATTGTGTTTGAGGTACAATTTGCTACTTTGTTATACAAGCAGTCTATAGAAATTCAAGATGCAATATTTCTTGACAAACGAATTGTGCATTTAACAGGATATGACTTTAGTGTCAGGAAATTTGCAATATCGTTAAAGGATGATTCTCTCCTTATTAGATAGATAAATGGAATGGTCAATTAATAGAGACGAAAAGGAATTAACAGAAGTACCTGTCTTTTTAACTGTGCTTTTGGACACCTTACCCTCCCCCCTCCCCCACCTTCCTTAGGCTCAAGATCTCAGCCTGTGAAGTGCTTTTAGACACTATCTCAATATGAACGGTGCAAATGTTGTTGCTGTATATTCAAACCGTATTAATCCCACATTCGAATCCACGTTACCAGGGATGAGTGGATACAACTATCAAGAAAGACTGACAGCTGCAACGTGGTTGCAACTTTTCTCTCTGGATGATTGAGAGGGGACCTGATAGATAGGTTCGCTTCGCTTAAGATTTGGAAAGGATTTAATGGAGTGGATTTTCATAGATATTTTCCACTTGCAAGTCCAAAACTAAAGGGCATAAATGTAAGATAGTTAGTATAAGATTACATAGGGAGAATAGTCAAATTAGTGAGAACAAACTATTTTGTTTGTTATTAAATACAGTCCTCGAAGGAAGTATCAGATTGAATCAGAACTAAAATGAATGGCATTATTATACAATCTGTCAATTCAGGTCTATAATTATAGCCTCAAGACCCCCAAGTAATACTACATTCTACTCTGCCAGTCCATATTCACTAAATCCGGTTATATAGTCTGAATTTGAGGTCACTCGTGTTCAGCAGGAGGCCTTCATGAGATACTATCTATTGCATTTATATCCAGGAAGCCGCGAATTGTTCACTTGCACCATTAGAACTCAGATCTGGAACTGGAAAACTAATTATAATTGAAGGCAATTTTAAAAGCCATTTCCTGTCTGTCTGACTAACTATATAGTTTGGGGCATGTCACGATGGTGGAAGGCGAACTGGATGGATGGACCTTGGTCTTCTTTCGCCGAGCAAGTTGTTAGGTTCTTAATGCAGTAAAACACAGTTATAATGGACTGTGACTTCCATAATTTGAAACAGGTAAAGGATACTGTCCAAAATCAGTTTAGAAAGAAACTGATAGGCTGATAGATCCTCCATTTCAGATATGTTGTTGTAGGAAAAATCCACTTCCTGCAATGGAAATGTGAAAAAGTGAGTGAATTTGGCTTGGATAAAACTGTCATTCTGCCTATTTTCAGTCAGTTTTAGTTGGACAGCTGTAGCCTCATTCAGTGCATTAAAATGTTTTTAAAAATTAAAATATTTGTATATTTCATATAATTGATCGAATATAAACAATTGCTTTTGATAGGAACAGATTTGAAACCCTGAGTGCTGGACACGAAAGGACATTTCCAATAAAAAATGTTAACAGATAGGTTATAACACCGAGCCCTCTGGTTGGGCATCTTTTCACAAGGATGGGAATCAAAAGTAGCAACCTGTATCCTACCACTTCAATGGCACTTAACAATTAATTTCTATTGTGCCTTCCCTATTCTACTGTGGAAATATTTTTCTTTAAAGATGCAAGAGGCTGCCACCTCAAATTCAGATCATGATTATAAGCTTTGCACTTGCAGTCTGGAATGTTAGCCAAACCACATATAGCCATTGTTTGCATAATTGATCTGTACGATGCCACTGGACTGAAATGCTATAATGGCTGAGTGCAAAACAATGGGGTCAAAAATATTTTTCTGGGTTACTGATTCGGGATGAGTGATGGTGGTGGTTGACTAGTCCTGACATCTAACCGAATGGTCCAGATGCTGCCATTATTTGTGCATGTTTGAGGGCAGCCAATATGCGACCTCAGCAATAGACTATATGGACCTCAGGGATGGTTTGAGCCAAGAAAATATAAGCACACACATACACATCCTCCCAAGTGATTTTCGCTGTAATGGAAACTAAAAACAAAAAATATTTTCCTGCGACAACCATCAATCACTGATTTATTTTTCTCTTTTGACTTTAAATTGTACATTCTCCTTAAAACATATAGTACTGCACTTTACAGGATTTGCCTATACACTGTATAAAAAAAAAAATATTATATTGAATTGCTCTCTAAATCCAATCTTATGAAAGATGTAGGCTTATGTTTGCTGACTGGTATCTCACATCCATCCATTCCTTGTGACCACATTCAGGTTTGAACTGCAGGCTGGGAAATGACATTTTATACCTCTTGTGTCACAATGTAAAGGAAAATAATGAGTTGAATAAAGTTCACCCTCAAGAAAGAGATATATCAGCAAAAAAAAAGGATTGATGGCTATACAAATGTAATAGTGTTGTTATTGTCAACAAAAACTTTGTTAGTTATGGTACACAAACATTTAAAGAGCTGAAAGACTATCCCATTGCACATAAACAGCAGCCAAACATAAAAAAAATTCAAAAAGGACATTTTTAAACTCACAGTATTTAAGATGATTTAAACATTTTAAATTACATTCCAGAAAGGGCTCAAACCAAGAACAACTGGTTAGCAACAGGGGAGAGAGAGACTCAAAGTCAGAGTCAAAATCACTGGTGAGATGTTTCACAGCAGCTAGAGTGAAGAGAAAACCACAACAGACCCCAAGGAAATAACAAATCGACCAAGTGTAGCAAACAATTTGGTTTGGATCTGAACTGGGAAATTGAGGAGACAAAAGAGGGTGAAACAGTATAGGAGACTAGGAAATGGCTGGACTAAAGGACACAGCTAAAAGGAAAGTGTACAGTAAGTAACAGTAAACAGCACTAAAGGAGTCTAAACAAACTCTGAATGGATTAACAATAGAAAAAATACAATCAGGAAATCATGGGTGTTGTTAGCAATTAAGCAGCTGGTGTGAGAAGGTGTGTCGCAGGAGCAAAATAAAAACAATTGTATTCTTCTGCCAGACTCACACGCTTGAAGGAAAACGCAAACTAAATTAGCAAAGTCTTTGCAAACTTCACAAACAGTAAGTTGTAATTAACACAATGAATCAGCCTTAGACAGGCATTACCTATTTCCTATCACAAGATGCTGTGGAAAATCTCCACTTTCCAACGGAAGAAATGATTGATTTGGAATCAAACAAACTGATTTATCCAATAATTTAATTCTTATTGTACAATAAAATTATTCATAATTAGAAAATGATTCACTCTTAAAAAACTACTTCCTATCTGTAACTACGTAAAACACATAGCATTTTCACACTGTAAAAGATTTTTGAAATATTTGTAAAGATAGGCAAGGTCTGAAATTTTTCATGCTCTTACTCTTTAAGTCCATTGCTTTAAAATCTAGTTTCAAGCAGAATTTTGGAAGATAAATTCTCTTTTAAGAATTGTGGAAAAAAATGGCTTACAAATTAAGATGAAATTAAAATGTTAAGACAATGCAAAGATTATTATTATTATTAAGGTTAAAAACTAAGAGACATTTTGTGTCTCCTTTATTTCATCAAGTCCTATCCTCAGTGCAGCCTGTCACCTTTTCAGATTTGCTCAATTGCTTACCTTAAGATGTTTGGGTGGCTTGAATTGAAAGAAAGAAGTCAGTTCATTTTCGGAGGCATTCAGCTGCAACAGGTGTGGCATATGGTTGACCCAGGACATATCTATAAACCAAAAATCAATGTTGACTCACAACTTGAAAAACAAAGAGGTTGATTGACACAGTTCACTGTGAGCTACAGTAGAAATTTCTTCAAACACATTTTATTAAGATTCGACTAATTTGTTTATTGCTTGAACTACTTCATAATACAATTAGTTCAAGCAACATAAGCAATATAGTTATCACCGCATTGGAAGTTTCAAGAGGTCCTCAAAAGTTGGAGGTGACCTGCAAGCAGGGCTTGCAAAGCCGCGTTTTTATTACCAATTGCCACAACGATTACAATTTCAATGTACCCAGTTATTTCCTTGGTAACTTGCTCTCCATTCATAGGTCATGGAAAGGAGAACGTTTTGTCACATTCCAATATTCAATGGAATATAAACAAATAATAATCCTTGCTTTAAAGGATTATTATGCCTTATTACGCTGTTGAGACGTCTCAAGGCTTCACAGGATACAATCTAAAGTGGATTGGCTCTTGTGTTTTGTGGACAAAACGCAAATTTTCTTTGAAAATCAATCGAAAATCAGTGGGAACAGGAGCACAGCAAGCAGGAGGGAAACTGGTCCGCGAGATAGCAACGTAGGTTACTTCAGGCTTTCCTCACTATACTGTCTTAGAGAAACGAATCGTGGAAATTATAGCATAGAAGACCATCAGGTCATCAAATCTAAATTGGTGCCAGCTCATTCACTGTTGTTAGCTACTCTACTCCCCCTTTCCTCATGCTTTTTTTTATATTTTTCCTCTTCAAATGTTTATCCGGTTCCCTTCCAAATGTTATTATCTCAACCGCAACAGCTAGTTGTGACAAAGAATTCCATGTTCTAATAAGTTGCTGATTATGTTGTGAGTAGGAGGCAATATTAATTACTTGGATCTGATTGAGTTTAGGTCTCTACAGTACAATGCAGGCAGCTTGATTTATCATTGTATTTTTCCAACATTTCTTTCTTTACTTTTCATTCCTTGTGCCCAAAAGGAGAGCTTTCCCCGAGATTCTGCTACTGGTGCTTTCCTGTCTCCTTGAGGGAAGTGTTCTATTGCTTCGTATAACAGATTGGGATCAATTGTTTTTAAATTAATGGAATACTAGCTTGAATGGTAATTGTCCTCAGTGTAACTTTTCATTTCAAATGTTTATAGTAGCACTTCATTAGAAACCCAAGCAAAACATATTTTATTACATTTGTTTATAATGGTTGATTTGTTGATGTGTCTTTTTCACTCTATTCCAAATAAAATATTTCTCTTTCAATTAAATTCAGATTTAAGAGTGATATAACATTTGCTATAATAAAGAAGGACATTAGCATTGCGGATCGGTAATGCATCAGAAAAGTATCCATGAACCCATTAGTTAGTTGAGTGAAAGAACTCAAATTTGACTGCTCTGCATATAAGTACATGACACAGAATTATTATCGAGGTGATTTACAGCATAGATATAACTGTTGTACAGTTCTGTAATTACCATTGGTTTAATAGCATAGAACTGATTGAATTTTTGAGGTAATGTAAAAAATCCTGAAAACCACCTGACCACAAGTGCTGGAGTGATTTTCCATGACCTATGTAGAAGTTTATTTGTAATAATATTAACGGAGAAAACTTCTCACAGCCAACGCTTCCCCATTCATAAGATCAGTGAAGTGGAACTTCATGATGTACCACAGGGGGAATTCTACACAAAACATCTGTGCGTATAACAGGCAAAAGCTTAATATTCAATCTGAAGAAAACAGAATATAGTCCTAGGCTGTTGCTGACCAGCAATTTGAGGCAATACAAGAGGAAGGGATGATTGAGACACACCATTTGGTGTACATGTATCCAACAACTTGCACTTATATAGCCTCTTACACATAGATTTAACTTGACAGACATGATAGGAAGAAGGATGGATAATGTGAGTGTGTTGACCAGACAGAGGGTGGGTGTATCTCTCCTTATATTGTCCGAGGTACATGACAATTTTGATGAATTTAAGAATTCTGAGCATGTTACCTTCTCAATTGCTCCAATTGCCTCCATTTTGTAGTCTTCCAAGGCCACCTATCCTGCAAGTGAATGGCAAGCTTTCTGACATGGTGGTACTGGGGATGGAGGCAGGTGATGGAGGGAAGACATAGGACAGCGGTGATGTTCAGGGACTGGATGTGATTGAAGGAAGAGAGTTGAGGTTTGACCCAAACACCAAGGTTGCGCTCTGGTTCAGTGAATTTGAGAGAGAGAAGATTGAGGACATCAGAGCTAGAAGCAAGGAGGCAGTAATGGGAGCCAAGGTGGATGGATGGTGTCCACCTTGCTCATGTTTATTTGAAGAAAGTTGAGGTTCATCCAGGATGTCTGCCAGGCAGTGGTACATTTGGGTGTGACCCACATACATGTGGAAACCCGGGAAACTAAATTCATGTTTGAGAATGATATCATTAATGGGGAATGTGCAGATGAGGAAAAAGAGGGGACTGAGGTACGCTGTGGGTAACCATGTGAAAGGAAAAGCCATTGGAGGAAATAAAACAGTGATATCTGTCCAAGTCAGAACTTGGTGTGTTTACAATTTTTTCGTGAGAGAACCCAGCTCTGTGATATCTTTCCCTTCAAGTTTCCATCCCTATTTGTGGGTAAATACTGCTCACCATCTGCCACAGCTGGCAGCCAAAGTGTGAGAAGTCATCAAAATGTATTCGGTCTTGCCCACCCCTCCCCAACCTCTTTATTATGTTGTGCTTCCATGCATGTATTATGATTATTATTATTATTGTGAACATTGTGGCTACCGTAGAATTTTTTTTATATACATCCACATACCCGTAATTTTGTTGTTAGAAATGTCAATGTTCTGAATGAAATTGTACTCCGAAAGAATAGATACATCGATTAACTCAAGATCCTGCAAAACAGAAAAGAGGGCTTATTTGCAAAGATAGCCTGGACATTAAAATGATGTGTAGCTATTTATGAGATGCTCCAACTACAGTCAGAAATAGGGTACAATCTTCTATATATGGAATAACCTGGTTTAGGCTACCTGGTCGTTTTATGACAGGGTAGGAAGCAGCATGGCAGACCAAAAATATGCTGCTCGAATATGCCTGCTTCCTGCTGTCCATAGAATCATAGAAATTCACAAAGAAGAAGGCCATTTGGCCCAGCTGACTCTTTCAAGGAGCATTGCTTTCAGTCCCATTTACCTGTCTATAAAAACAACAACTTGCATTTAGAAACACCTTTCATGGGGGACAGCCTCTTGGAGTGATAGGAGCTATACAAATGTAATTTTGTATTGTATTTACCTACCTAAATCAAAATGAAATTCCATAATTTTCTGGCAGTGCTTCCTTTTACTCATCTGCTAACCTGGCAAGCCAAAGTTCTAATAGGTAGGGTAGTCTTGGCTGAACAAGCAGCAGGAGGCTTTTCAATCAGTATTTGCAATGGCAAGCTAGAGGTTCAGCTGGTTAAACTCCTGCAGTACCGACCGCAAAGCGGTTTCTGAGGTACCCCCCCGTCTTGTGACTAATGCTTTCTACGATTGAGCAAGCAGAGAGTTTCCCTCCAGGGAGAGAGTGGACACTCTATTCCAGACAAACAGAAATTTCATGGGCTATGTTTAGCGGGGATACTAGTCAGCATGGTTTCCATGTGTTTTAGAGAAAAAAACAGCTGATCAGCTGTAAACCAGCTATTGATGCAAATACCTACTTGTCACATGGGCGATTGAGAGATTCAACACTTCAAAGCAAATATGTAAACAGATCCATAAAGAGAGATGACTTTAATTATAGTTAACCATTCTGCTTACTAACCATGCTTCATATTCAGTTAAATATTTCCACCACATCATATACAATTCAATTATCCCCAGGAAAATGAATATGTACTTACAGGCAGGGAGAGATTGAGGTAGACCTGTTCCTGGCCAGAAGCTGAGTGGCTCAAATTTGACAATCCCTCATTTATTAGTTCTTTTGTCAATCTACCATCAAATATTTGCTGTAAAACAAGATCCATTTCAATAACTCCAGATCTCTTCTCTTCACAAAAACATTTTTGAATTGGAATCTCAATAGGTTCAAAAATAAATTACAAAATGAAAGTTCACAGTTGAAACTTCGACAAGTCACTATTGCAAAAGCAATCCAGATTAGCTTGCTGCTCCAAGGTGACGTGCTTGGCAAAGGAATTTCGGAACCAAGCCAGCCCTCTGTGATGGTCTCGTTGGTCCGGTTCCTGAACCAGGCAGGTCCACGGTATTCCAGGACAGCCTGACCAGTCACCGGGGCTAGGGAGTCATCCCACTCACCTCCTGTAAACCCTACAAAGGTTGGCAAGCCAAAGCCGAACGGGTAGGTTGGTCCTAGCTGGTCAAGCAACGGGAAAGCTTGCCAAACAGTGAAATCAATGGCAGGCTATATGGTTTTAGCTGGTTAGACTCCAGCAGTTATCCCAACGTACACTCTGGGGTACCCAAGCCTGGCCTCTTCCCAACCTGGGCCTAATATTTTCTGGAATTAGGTCAGAATGCGTTCCTCCAGGGAGAGAGCGCATTCCATTCCAACAGTCTATCTCTGGGATTTCCATGTGTAGGTGGCATGCATGGAATTCTCAGCTCGGTTTGAGTACCCTTAAGCAAGGTGATGGGTTTCCGCATGTGTCAGGCACCCGGCTGACCAAAAAAAAAAGGGTTGAAGAGGGAGAATGGGCAGCTATTCTTGAGGTGCGCTTCATTATCTTCATACGTTTAGGGAGAGAATACAAGGCAAGAGGATCGTTGAGTTGGGGATGGGAATACACTCAGCTGACACAAAAAATTCTCTCCATCTAAATTGGAGTCCGGCAGCTTAGTGGTTAGAGCAATCGCCTCGCAAGCGAGAGAACCTGGGTTCGATTACTGGGCAGGGCGAAACATTGGGCAAGTTTCTTTACTCCACACGCCTCCATTTCCCTAGCAGTAAGTAGGAACTCGGTTGTTAGTCGATTGGCAGATCGCTTTTCTGGGGGTAATAATCACTTAAAAAAAAAAAAAATTTGGTCACTCAATCTACGATTGTTTGTGAATTGAGAGGCCAAATTATTATTGTGTGCAATTGGCTGCTGCGTTTCACCCTCAAAACATACAGTCGATTCACCTGACAGTGTATTCTAGTGAAGCGCTTTGAGACGTCTCGAAGATCCAGTGGATCTGAACTCCTCAACCCCCCTGGGCTCTCCCTCAGACACACCGAACCAGTGCTCAATCTAGACACCCGGTTCGACCCCCAGTGTAGAACAATCCCTCCGCCTTGTCCCCTCTCTCCCCCTTTTTCAAGTCCCCGCCTGAAAACCTTCCTTTTCAACTAAACAACTCATTGAACCCAAGTCCTCTCTCGCTTGTGACGCCAGCCTTCTCCCGGATAACAACAGCGGGCGAGGGACCGCCGCGGGACATGGCCGCAGTGCGATGGCGCAGCCCGGATCCATCTTTACCCTCCAAACTATTACCACTCGCGGAATTTACACCGGCGGCTCATGAGTTATTGTCGACAAAGCGCTGTCTCAAACGCCAGGATTAATTATCATTGTGTGTGTGTGTGTCTCTCTCTCTCTCACTCTCTTTCTTTCCCCCCACCCCCCCCTCCTTTCTCTTCCTTCCTTCTTTTGTATAAGGAGTCCTGTAGCTCAGTGGTTAGAGCACTCGCTTTGCGAGCGAGAGACCTGAGTTCAATCCCAGGCAGAGGGCGAAACCTTGGGCAAGTTTCCTTACTCCACACAGAGCCTAATAATAATCCCTCCAAAACCAAAAGCAATAATAAATTGGTCATTATCAATCCACGACTGTTTGTGGGACATTGCTGTGCGCAATTGGCCGCCGCGTTCGCCCACAAATATACAGTCAATTCACTTTACAGTGTGTTCTGTGAAGCGCTTTGGGACGTCCTCCCGACGTGAAAAGCGCTCTATCAAATGCGAGGATTATTATTATTATTATTATTATATAAAACTCACTTGGACCACCTGGTCCTGGAAGACCTCGAAATCGGAGCTGGAGGACTCGCTGCTGCTCAGGTTCAAGTCCTTGAGCTCCTCCATGAACTGCTTCTCCACCTCCTTGGAGTACTCGTCCACCAGCAGGTTCAGGATGTCCTCGGCCATCAGCATGGTCATGTCCTCCACCGACTCCTGGGCCGTGCCCCGCACCACCTCGGCCAGGATCTCCCGCAGGATCTCCACCACCGTCTTCTCGTCCATCACCGGCCGAGAGGGCAACGGGGTGTACACGGGCGAGATGGGTATCAAGTCCCCCATGTTTCCCTCTCCCCTCCCCCACGCCCCCCCACGAAAAAAAACACCACCACCACTACCACGACGACGACGACGGGAGTTATTTTGTTTTAATTTTTTAAACAAAAACACGGTCGTGGTTCAACTCCTTTTTTTTTATCTATCTATCTATCTATCTGAACCCTCTCTCTCTCTCCCTCTCTCTCTCTCTCCGGGGCTTCGCCTCAAACGCTTCGCCGCCTCCTGTGATGCGACGCCATCTTGTGCATAGCAACCGTTGCTCTTGGAAACGGTCACTTCCGCTCACCCCCCGGACGTCTTTCCTTCCTCCTCCCCCCCCCCCAACCCGCGGCCCGGGCGACCGCCGCCGCGCGCGGTGCATCTCGGGAGTCGTAGTTCTCTCCCACTCCACCCCGCAGCCTCTCTGCCGCTACCGAACTACAGCTGCACCGCGCGTGCGTCCACTCGATCACGTGGGGGAGGGGGGGGGGGCGGCAGGACACAAGGGGAGAGACCCACGTGGGCTACATTGTGGCTGTGTCCTTGGTTGGACATTGGTGTTCACAAAGTCTTGTTACCCCCCACACACAGTCACTACGCTTTTGCCGCCTATTCCGCAAAGCGCTTTCAGCCGCCTCGAAGACGTGACGAGGCGCCGTGTCGAATGCAGGAGTTATTATTATTATTATTATTATTTGCCCACCCCCAAGTGCTTGATTTTTTGACGGGCGGGGGGGTGGGGGGGGGGGGGCCGGGCGGGGGATGGGGGGGGGCGGACGGGGGAGAGGGGTGGGGTGGAGGGAGGGGGGGGGGTGGTCAGCCGGCTGACAGACACATCCGGGTGTCTTAAGCGTGACCCCACTCAAGAGTATCCAAACCAAGTTGAGAATTCCTTGCCTACACGTGGAAATCCCAGAGACAGGAGTGTTGAAATGGAATGCCCACTCTCTCTCTCTCTCTCTCTCCCCCTCCCTCCCTCCCTCCCTGGGAGCCGGACTACCTAATTCCCGCTTACCTAATTCCGGAAAGCATGAGGTGCAGGTTGGCGCGAGCCAAGGCTTGGGAGGACCCCCTTAGCGTGCACTGGGATAACTGCTGGACGTTTACCTTGCTAAAACCGCAGAGCTTGCCCTTGCTATCGCTGTCTGGTCATACATATGATGATAATTGCATTTAGAAGTACTTCGTGGGTATTCAGTATGAGTTTCTTTAACTGTATTTTGACCCTATCACCCCCATCCTCACCCGACTCCACCGGCTTCCCATCACACAGAGGGGACGGTTCAAGATCCTGGTCCTCACCTTCAAAGCCCTTCATGGCCTTGCTCCCCCCGACCTTGGGGACCTCTGAACCCCCAATCAACATGTCCGCACTCTCCGTTCAGCGGGCCCGGCCTGCTTCATGTCCCCCGCCTCACTCGCCCCACCATCGGCAGGCAGGCCTTCAGCCACTCTGCCGCTACCCTCTGGAACGCCATCCCGCAGTCTCCTCGCTTGCCTCCTTCAAGACCCTTCTCTTCGACCGTGCCTTCAATCACCCTCCTTACCCCCCTGCCCTTCACCCTCCCCAATCCCACCCCGCAGCTCGGGTCCGAACCACCGACTGTCCAGCGCCTTGGGACGTCCCTTCAACGTGAAAGGCGCTACACAAATGTAATTTTATCGTTGTAGACATCCAGAGGATGTGTGTGTGTGTGTGTGTGTATGTGTTTGTGTGCGCGCCATCATTTTCACGGCAGATAATGATCCGTCGTTATGTTCGATGCGACGTCTTCCCGTATCATGGATGGAGCGACGAGGGCAAAATGCATCACTGACAGCTGGTCTCAACGCCTCCGTGCTCGCATATCACTAATTTATAATGGGGTAAGAGGACTCTGTGGACACCCTGTTTAAGAGGATCCAAACCAGAGTTCTGCATTTGGATACACGGAAAGGTCCCTGTGTTTACAATGGAATGCGCACATCTCCCTGGAGGGTTGCGCCCTGCTTAACTAATTTCAGAGTTAACTAATTCCAGAGAGTTAGGCACATGTTGGCGAGAGCCAAATTGCTAAATACAGTGCAGCTGGTATCTTGTTTGAGTGGCCTTTAAGTGGTTCTACAGCATTATCTCTAATGTGTTCATGAATACACAGCTGATATACAGGATTGCACAGGGGAGCAGTTACATCTTCAGTAAAAAAAAAAGATCTTATTTCAACTTTAGAGTAGTCATTAGTCATACACACCTAGTTTGCATTTCCAGCTCAGTGAGGTGGTAAATATTTTAAAATATACAGAATGTTTTAACATTGCAGCCTTAATGGGAATCAGCAACACATACGCATCCAACTTCAATTATGCATTCGGCAGGTCACAGTGTGCAATGTACAGCTAGGGCAGCCTGTTAATGGCTTTCCCCAATAAGAACTCAAATGCTGTTTCTTTACAATCTTGAGTTTCATCCTCTTCAACAAGTTGCAAAAGCTGGAATATATAAACGTGTTAATGTCAAATCATTGTGCAGTGGTGTCTGCGAGTCTGAGGTAATTGCGGGGACTCGAGGAACACAGACGTGGCGAGGCAGTTCCAGAACGAGAAGCTGAATACATTATGTAAATGGTAACAGTTTGAATAATAAAAATGGATTCGGTCAGTACTACCACACTGTGCTATGTCCAATGATGATATAACACTCTACATCCGGTATTAGAGTGGTATCGTAAGCAAGAGGACCTGGGATCGATTCCAGGGCAGGGCGAAACCTTAGCCAAGTTTCCTTACTCCACACACCTCTCTTTACCGAGTGGTAAGTAGGTTGTCAGTCGATTGGTGGATCGCTTTTCCAGGGTATTAACCCTTCTAAGAAAAAAATGCGGTCATTCAATCCATGAGTGTTTGTGGGACACTGCTGTGCGCAATTGGTTGCTGTATTTCGCCCACCAAGTATACAGTGAATTCACTTTAGAGTATGTTCTGTGAAGTGCTTTGAGACGTCTCGACAACATGATAAGGCACTATATCAAATGCAAGGGTTATTATTATTATCACGTTTCTTTGTATTATTTCATTCTTTCTTTCTTCCCACTCCCCACTCTCTGTTCTCCATCCCCCAAATTTCCAAAATCACTACCCTACGCTCCCAAATCCGTACCCCCATCCACAACCTCTTCCACCCACCCCTCAACCCGCGACCTCCCTCACCCACCTGAAAACTGCTTCTTAGACTGGGTGGGAGTGCAGTCCCACACTCACTGGCACCTTCCATACCCTTGCAGGTTCATTTACCAGCACGGGCGTAATGGACAGCAACGTGGAATAAAAAACACTGTTGATCATCTTCTCCTTAGCCCAGGGAACACTGAGGTCAGGTGAGATCAGCGTCTAGCTTTGAACGTGGACCATTCTTGGTCTATGGATTCAATATTGCACATATGGTGTACTTAACATCAGGTGGAAGAGAGTTTGTAATTTTAGTGGACTGAATTCACTAGTCAATGTACTGCATTGAAATGTCGATAGAGAGGCAACTTGTGACTGAATCCCATTCATTATTAATGTCGCTGAAGGAATTGTCTGAAATCCATTTGTAATGTACTCAGCCATAAGGACCATAAAGCTCCCAAACAAGTCTGGTCTGTTAATGGGCACCAATTGACTTCAGTACCCCTGAGTTAGAGAGGGGGGAAACAACAGCCAGGGTTTCCACTTTTCATTGAGCCCAGTTAGATAGGATCGTGGGCGCAGAGGCTATTAACAGAGTGAATATTTTAATCAGAACCGCACATGATGCCACAAGATTGCAGGAAAAGAAAAAAGGTTCAATGTGATGTTAATAGCACGAATGGGCCATCACACATCAATTTGTTTCCCATTGAAACATCTTCAATTTGCATCCGACTCCACTATTTTGGTTTCGTTTTTATTAAGATATCCCGTTGAAAGGCTCATATAGTACAGAGCGGGGAGTTGGCAAGAGGCTGAGTTGAGAAGAAGTGATTAGAAAACACCAAGCAACATGTTTCAAAAAGCTGTAGATTGTATGAGAAAGGGAGGGTCTGATGGAGGTAAGAAGTTTCACAGGGAGAATGATACACAGAGTGTCCAATGCAACAAGGAGTCAAGAACAAAGTTCAGGACAAAAGCAAACCAACAAATAGGTGTGACAGGGAGCGATAGACGTGTTGCTGGGCCGAGATGATTTCTTATTTACCATAATAATCCTTGCATTTGAGATAGCAACTGATCACGTTGTTGAGACATCTCAAAGTGTGGCAGCAGTGTCCAAAAACAGTCGCGGATTAAGTTACCAATTTGTTTTTTTAGGGATTATTATTGCTAATCGACTAACAACTGGGTTCCTACTTACTGCTAGTGGCGTGGGGAGTAAGGAAACTTGCCTAAAGTAACACCCTGCCTGGGAATTGAACCCAGGTCCTCTTGCTTGCGAGGACGAGCGCTCTAATCAACATGCTGCGGGACTGTACCATGCGGTATAAACAGAATAAGCGATGAGAGGCAAAAGGATCTGATCATTATTACCCTGAGCACAACTCACTCATAATTTTATTGCTCATGAGTATCGGGTCAGCATTCTGCTATAGATGAGATGCTGCAACTCCTCAGCCTGTCTCCCCTATTTATAATATCAATATTAGTTGAAAGTAATTAACACCATCGTTTGAATATCTCATACAATCAACCACAACAGGCCAACTACAAGATTGACGAAAGGGCCTGAATATTTATTGCTGGTGTCAGCAGAGATTTGAAGATCCCTTTAATCTCGTCAGGCACAAAGATGTGCAGTGAACTTCACGTGTCCTAAAGATGGATGATCCTTCTATCATCCTTTAAAAACTATATAATGAGATGCTGACTTTCTCGAGCTCCGTGTATACTTGTAAGTAGAGTTCTGCATTACTTCCGTCCCCTGTTTTGACATGGGATTTCAGTTTTGATTGATTGCCCTAAATTTTTAATGTCAAATTACAAAATTCGGATTTGTCAAACCGCAAACTGGCTGGCTCACCCGCTGAACAAATTCAAACTGTCAAGAGCGACATGG